CTGATTGAGATCCGTCATACCAGAAACTCCCTCATGGTCAGAAGAACTAGACATGTGATCGTTAGCTCTGGAACAAATCCCACATGTCCAAAGTGGATTTACTTGGCTCCTTGAGTCCACATGGGACATGTTTGTCTTCTTTTTTTTTCCATTATGATATTACAAACTGTAATTAACTTGAGACTGTTTACATAGTTACACTGCAGTCATGTCATGTGACCAAGACCGTTTGTCATTGTGATTTAGTTTAAGAAAGGTCAAGCATAGTGAAAAGCATTTCATTATCAGAATGTATCGTTTTTTGTTCTGTATGGGAAGGGAAAGCTGAATGAATGTGAGTTGAGCTCTTTGAAGTCAACAGTGTCTCCATTGCCAGGCTCCTCTCCCAGTAAGGATGACTAGTGCCTAGCCAGAGTGACACTCTATCCCCAGAGGAAACCCCATCCCCAGTCCTCAGAATGGCTTGTTGTAGTGGTGACATCTGAGGCACTATTATTAAAAAGAATCCCTGTCTCTAGCCTTACTTTCATAGCAAAGCTATTCATGTCAGTAGCAAAGTCTCGACTGATGTGCTTTTATATACATGTGTATATATATTCCGATTATACACGCTCTAGCATCTGAACTTTTTCATTAACATCATGTTTTCTGGCCAGATCCAGCACAGCGGTACAAGTCCAGTTCTCCAAATTCTTCTCAACACTCTTCTTGCTTCTGTGTCTTTTGCTGTGCCACATATTCTCTCTGCATTATATTGTGTTCTTGTATTTTTGTTGTGCTTCTTTCACTTGCTGCTTTAAAGTGCCTTAGACTTGTGTTACTGTCTATTTAGATGTGTTATTGCTCATCTACTTTATATTTCACTTGTATTTTGTGGCATTCATGTGGACGGCAAAGTAAGAATTTCATTGTACAGGGAAACGCGTTTCCTTGCATATGATGAATAAACACTTTGACCTTGACCTTTTGCCATTTTCTGCTCAGATGGATCAAGTTTGAGGAGAAGGTGGAGACGGGCGGAGAGCGCTGGAGTAAGCCTCATGTGGCCACACTGTCCTTACACAGTTTAATGGAACTCAAATCATGCATCGAGAAGGGCACAATCATGCTGGACTTGGAGGCCACCACGCTGCCACAGATCGTCGGTAGGTGGATTTGACTATACTCAGAATGCCGGCACGCTCTTGACTGTTACGGTAAACCAAAGGATGACTCAGCCTTGACCTTCACTCTGTCTGACTCTAACAGAGATGATCACCGAAAGCCAGATTGAGACCGGACAGTTGAAGGCAGACCTGAAAGAGAAGGTCACGTATATGCTGCTACGGAAACATCGCCACCAGACCAAGAAGTCTAACTTGCGTTTTGCAGACATTGAAAAGAGTGTTTCTAGTGCAAGTAGGCTGTTTACCAGCCAAGAAAACGGTACTGCAAACCCTTGATTTTTTTTACCTTTGTCTTAAACCAAACACTTTCACCATTTGAAGCCTTTGTTGTCTTTTCCTCACTTTTCTTTTCCAATCTTGGGGATTGTTTTTATCTTTTTTTCTTCTTTTCCCTTATCTTTGGGTCTATGCTGCCTCTTGATTTCCTGCATCTGGGTTGTTATAGCACGAAGCCCTCTTGAATACCCTGTGCCTTGTTTAACCCCACAAGACTCAGATGAACCGTATGAGGTCACGAGGAGCTCCAGCATGGGATACCTCTGTAAGTGAGGTCACAGCACTCCTCCTTCAAACGACATAGTTGGGACATACTCATGTAAAACTTCCACCCATGGAGATTCAATAATATGAGTAAGGCCAACACTGGAACACAGTTGAGTGCTCCTTCAGTTGATTGTGTTAAGGAGCTGGATGTGTGTTTATTCAGTGCTACAAACTGAGGCGAATCAGCGTAGAAACACACAAAGATAGAGCAGCCTCACACTTAATGTTCTTAACTAAATATTTATTCAGCAACAAAGCTAAAATGTTAAAGACTGTTCTCACTGTCTAATTGTGGATGAGTGGACCATATCAAACTGAGTTCTGAGGTTTACAGTCTCACTCATTTAACAATGGTTGGCTAAGCAGGTTTCTGCTGATGCATGTAAGCAGTGGACCTAAGACGACCATGTGTTCCTGCTCTCTTCTCTCTGGTGCGCCTGAATGAATGACCATCTGGCATCAGTCCCAAAGCTTAAGCCTTGCCACATTTAGCTGGGTCCTGATGTTTCTGGCTCTCTTCATGTACTTTCCTGGTGCCTTTCTTTTCTGGGGCTCATCTTCCTCGTCTGCTAGAAATCTCTCTACTAACAGTGACTTGCCTCTCTGCAGGTAGCCCAACTACTGCCCATCGAAACCTCACCTCCAACAGCCTGGGTGACTTCTCTGACAAACCAGAGAAGGATCAGGTAATATGTTTGTGCCTCTGTATTATTGCAAAAAGATTATCTATAAGGTATTGTGCAACCTAATAGAGAATACTCCACAAAGCAGCAGCACTATGCACGGTCATGGGTTGGGCTGTGTGTATACGTGACCTTGTGAGCTTCCCATACTGACAGATAAAATACCAGGCTCTCTTGCAGCTCCGCAACAAAAGTTCACTGTCTCCCCTCTTTGCCGTGTGAGTCATCTGCACGTCCAGTTTCTCTCACAGTCATAACTCATGGTTGCACGTCATGACTTGGTTAATTGGCTGTGCGGTGTAGACATAGACGGCACATAGATGAAAGATCACAAGAGGAGTTAAACTGTAACAACTGTATTTACACTCCAGCACTAGTTAATGAAACTGTACATTTGTCAGAATGGTCTGGCCTTTGACACAAGACCAAGGCCTTAGTTAATCATCACCAGCAAGTGAGGTTTTTTTTTTTGTCATCTGCAGTTTGTGTGTATATTAGTGCAAGGTAGTAAAAGCATGTTCCTACACTGTAGTAAAGTGCATTTATTAGGTAGCATGAAGTCAGTTTGCCGTTTAGCACAAAATTCTCAGACAGGGCAGGTACTACCTGTTTAACATGCTTCCAGTGACAGTTGGTCTCTGCCAGTTGCTTTTTAATCACATTTTAATTACCACATTAGTTTAAAATGTCATGGCTGTCAGTGCTCATGCTGCATGTCACAGAGAAACAAAGCAAGAGTTTGTGTGCATGCCCTGTGTCTGTGTCTCAACAACAGATGTTTTGCATTCATTGTTACAATTCTGGCCGCCATTTTCATTCACTGACATTTTTTTTTTACCCTTAAATCCATGTTCTTTTTGTCTTCACAGCTGAAAAACAAGTTTATGAAGAAATTGCCCCGTGATGCGGAGGCATCAAATGTGCTGGTTGGAGAGGTAGATTTCCTGGAAAGTCCCTTTGTGGCATTTGTTCGTCTGCAGCAGGGTGTCATGCTGGGGGCCCTCACAGAGGTCCCTGTGCCCACAAGGTATAGCACATAGCTGTAGTGTCATAAACTGAAATACCAGATTTCATTAATGTCCTACAGAGCAACAACCAGCTTATGACTTTGTAAATGGTCCCTAATATCTAATTCTTTTGTTGTTCCTTAGGTTTCTCTTTGTGCTGCTGGGCCCTAAAGGTAAAGCAAAGTCCTACCATGAGATTGGAAGAGCCATTGCCACCCTGATGTCAGATGAGGTATGCTAATTACAATGCTAATGACTTGATTTGTCCATTTACTTTGTGTTAAAACTCACTCTTGAGACTGTGAAGGCCTGATTCTGAGGTGTACTGAGGCCTGGGGTGTACTTGCTTTTAGGGGTAACATCAAATAACAGTTGTGTGGACCTGAAATTCATGTTTGACAGTTTAGTTTAATTCATGGGCTTTGTTTTATACATATAGGACTGACAGAACACTGTTTTAATGCAGTAGAGTTCATCCTCTTTAACCTCTATTGGACTAAATAAGCCAGGATTGGATGTGAACCTTAGATGATGGGCAATTTGTGATTTCCTCTGGACAGAGAAGCACTCCACTCACTGTAAGGCTTTGGAGGTTTCTATCCTAGAAACAGAGCTGATTTTATTAATTAAATCAGTAATCAACAGATCAGCAACTTTAGTAGCATTCATTTTCTGCAGACCAGTGTTTTCTGTACAAAACTGTGCGACGGTCCGTCCAATAGCTGCTGAAATATTTTCGCCTGACACATAAACTGTACAGATAAACGGACCGCCATTTTCTCACCTTTCGTCAGTGTTTAAGGTTCAGTTTGCACTCATTCACTGTTGCGAGAAGCTGTCCACCTACATTTCCTGCAGCAGTTGTCCTCTTGCCAAATCTCAGCTCTCTGGACAATCCTGTATTAATCATCACAGCAGCAGTCTTGGCCGGGCTTTTGGTAGACCATCTTATAGCTTTACTGTTCAACTTTGTATTAAGAGACAAATTAGTTTTTGTGTAAGCAGAGTAAAAGTAATACATTTCAAAATCTGATTTCATTTTAGGCTTTTACATCATCCACTATGTTCATCTCTGTCTGCTTTGTTTCTCTGTTTTATATTCTCACTTCTGACTTAACCCCTCCATGTTGTCTGGAATGTTAACAAGGCAGCTCATGACAGGTTTAACCCATAGAGCACCTGGCTTGGAAATTCCCACGTATTTCAACTCTTCCCACTGTATTGTGTCTGTCAGCATGGCAGGGTAGGAAGTGTTTGTCTAGGATTTGCTTGGGTTAAACGTTACCCCCTCAGCGCTCTACTGGCAGTTGTGCCACAGGCTTATCAGATGATTGTATTTGAGTCACCGGTTACTCTGCCTAACTGATACGCACAGATAATCACTCATTATTTGTGTACACTGTGAAAGGGTTTTGAAAATTCTTGGTTGTTGTCAATATTACAGTGTTGAGGTCAGTTGTCATTATTTATATTTCAATATCATGCTGCACTTGGTGTCCCTGCAATCAAAAGTGAGTGGGCAGCGTTGTCTAGTGAGCCGTTTCAGTTGCACATTTTGTGGTCTTTCCTTCCATGCTGTGGGTAAGAAAAGTGAGTACATGTTGCATCATTGATTGGCTGATTACAAATAGGTTGATTGTGTTTGTTTGTTTGACAGGTGTTCCATGAAATCGCCTACAAAGCGAAGGACAGGCAGGACCTGCTGGCTGGTATCGAGGAGTTTCTGGATGAGGTCATCGTCCTACCCCCAGGTGAATGGGACCCTGACATCAGGATAGAGCCACCCAAGTCTCTGCCATCTTCAGACAAAAGGTTCGTTCTAATCCAAATTTAATGACGTCACTGCACATAAAACTATTACAATTCTATCCAGAATGTCACATGCACATACAGTATATTTACCACATTGCATGAAAATACTTTATACAGCACTTCATTCTCATTTTCTTACAGTAGTTGAAGTACCGATCACAACTATTCAATGATGTCAGTGTCAAACTACTGTTCAGAATGTAACTGAAATGCCAATGTATAAAATGTTTTTATTTTATAGGATCTGGAGATCTTTTTAATAACACAAGAATCTGTCTTATTGACAATTTTCATGCTAGTTTCTGTGTGGTTGAATTTATTAATGGTTGGTGGTCTGTGTGTTTGCCCTCTGTGTGAAGGAAGAACATGTACGCTGGATTAGAGGCACCTCAGATGAATGGTGACACGCCCCATGATGCAGGACATGGAGGGGGAGGAGGACACCAGGTTGGAGAGGAACTGCAAAACACCAAAAAGTAATTAGCATTTCCCTTTGTAAAATGAAAATAATTGTAGAGAAATGAAGGTGTGATATTTGTTTTGACATGACTTACTAACTTCATAGTCTCTGTCTTTAAGGTTTTGTGGAGGTCTTGTCCTGGATGTCAAGCGGAAGCTGCCATTTTTTGCCAGTGACTTCTATGATGCACTACATATCCAGTCTCTGTCTGCCATCTTGTTCATCTATCTGGGCACAGTAACAAATGCAATCACATTTGGAGGTTTACTTGGAGACGCTACCGAGAATATGCAGGTAAACCTCCTTCCTCTTTGTGATGAGTGAGTTTTGTTTCTATGGAGATGCTGCAAATCCTTATTGTATATTGCCGACTGTACACAACACGAGTCTCCTGTTCAGTCTTATGTGTATTTAATGCATTCAAACTGCAGCGAGGTCCACTTGATAATTGTGAACAGCAAGCAAAACTACTTGCAGAGAGGCATGAGCACCCTGACAGCTATGCAGCACTCATGAAATAAAGTCTGTTTGCTGTTTACAAGTGTCCAGTTGAACCTGGAACCAGCTTTACTTCCAAGTTGTGTTATGATTACTGACCAAATTAGACCTGGTCCCCGAAAGATGAACTGTAAGTTTGACCACTCAAAAGAGTTGGACTTGAACACCAATGAATCCTGTTTGGGTTGAGTCTCACACAGTAGTCATGAGTGGATATCTTTGGATTTGTTTTCTTGGGTCTCTCTTAGCTTGGGGGTTGTATCTGAGAACTCAATATGGATATCTATCGACGACTATTATAACTAACGTATTAAAAATGCAGACGGTGTGGTTCCATACTAAAATGTGTGTAAATGTCAAAACACTACAGAGTGCAGGGTGTTGTTCTATAGCATGTAGCACGTTGTTTCATCACTTCCAGATAGACTCGAACACTGAGACAGGCTGCGTTTTGCAGAGGTATGATTGTAAGCCTTTGTTTTGGTCACACACAGTGTGAAAGTAACTAGATTGGTAACTTGGTTCTAATGTATCTGTCCATGCAAAGTGTAGCTTTTTACTCACAAAGAGCATTTTGTTTTATTAAAATTATAATGAAATCAAAACAGAATGCGGTTTATAGGTGATGGGCACCCTGTGCATCCTATATGCACTTAATGGCATGAAATAAAATCTGTGTTAAGATGTTTGTTTCCCCTCCACCTGTGTGCTCCCTGTGTTAGATCACAAGTTAATGAACAATTAAAAGAGTTCACTTCAGCAGATAAGCCACGTTTAATTTGGAGCTCAAAGCCTCAGTCTGTACCCATCTGTTGTACCTGCTGCGGTATAATAGCATACGCTACTTGTTGCATTCATCCTGGCGCTCTTAATAACTGAATGTATATGTTTCAGTCCTGAATGGCCGTAACCTCAGTGCTGCACAGTCAGTTTAAGTTTTGTGTAATGTACCGTCCCATCCAGATGTGCAGCACACTCACACAGGCAGTTGCCACAAATAAAACTGAGTGTGTGGTAATCCTGATCCTGTCATTCACCTGTGCTCTCAGTGGAGCAGCTTTGGTTTCTGTGTTTAGTTTCACCAACTGCCCACCTGAATTCAGTTTATTTTTTCTATGCCTCAGCCTTAAATTAATATCAATATATTTTTGCTCGTTATACACAGTTTTTGCAAGTAAGCTAACCCGATGCAGGACTCGGATACATTTGTCCATTGACTAAGGTACTTGCTTTGACCTGCATCCTAGCAGACCTGCAGTGCAGTGGCCTCAGGGATTTGCTCAGGCTGTAAATAACCACAGATCCAGATTACTCAGCCCCTATAGCCTCGTCATGGCTGCGTTTTCCAGTGACCCCTCCTCCCCTCAACACCAGTGATCCTCAGTCTTGCATCACTGCTTTTTCCCCTCTCTGAGCACAACAGAGGGAATCCCTGACCTCATTTAACCTTTCTCAGCACAGACCTCTGTGTGAAGCTCAGCCTAGTTGTCAATTACTCGTCCATCTATCTACTACAGTATGTACTGTGATGTCATTTGCATTAGACTTGTCAAATTGTGTTTATGAGAGTATGAACTGACATGACTGGAAAATGAACAGGCCTTTCCAGATGAGCGAGAACTGCAGCTTTGTATAGTGAAAACACATCTTCCCAATGACTAAGCAAAATGATCCCACTGAAGTTCAAAAAGACTTGTGGACAAGAAACATGTGAAACATAAGGCATAGTTTCTTTCAGAACACTTCATATGGAGTCATGATCACATATGATTCTGTATACGAGTTGTGTGTGTGAACCCTGTACGTGATTTCCTGTGTGTAATGTGTTGCAGGGAGTGTTGGAAAGTTTCCTGGGCACGGCACTGACAGGGGCAGTGTTCTGTCTGCTGGCTGGTCAGCCTCTGACTATTCTCAGCAGCACAGGCCCAGTGCTCGTCTTTGAAAGGCTCCTTTTCAACTTCAGCAGGTGAGTAGTGTCTGATCAAACTCACTCAGTCACTTTAATAATTATTAGAGAAGGAAGGATCAGAAACTGCAGCAGTAGCCTGGGAGATGTTTCTAGATTGTAATCTTTCCCCAGAGGACAAACACTGTTTGTGTTTTTACAGAGATGCAGTTTCCCTTTAATATAAAATAAAAGCATTAAGTAGATAATTTACAGAACAGTTACAGTAGACTGGCAACTTTAAGGTTTTTATTTCTTTGAGCAGAATCTCACTGAAACTTTTTGTGCCTATTGTAAATCTCGTGGCAATGATAAATGGTCCAGGATACAGCTGTTTGTTAATTTCCCATGTGATTTGTCACCAACTTCCTGTCCCGATTGGCGTGGGAACAAGACCAGTATCATACACATCTTTGCGTAGAACAAGATGCAGGAGAATGTGCAATAAAAGACGCACACCTGGAAATATAGTGAACATTTTTGAATAAATGTTTCCTAACTTTACCTTTCTATTATTGTATTGTTGTGACCTTATTTTGCAGATGAATTTCTTCTCCCTCTTCCCACTGTACTGTCGTCCTCTCACAGGGAGAGTCTTCTAGAATTACCACTCACTATGCTGATTATGTTCCATCATTAATAATTCACTCTCATTTCATTTTACACTGTGAGTGAAGAATGTTGTCTGAGGCCTCAATGTTTTCATGCATACATTAGTCTGTGACAGATGCTAGTCTGTCTACAGGTGTTGGATATGTATACACAACAGATGTATATTTTCCATATAGAGGAAAAACTGCATGACAACCCTGGTTGCAAGTATTTCGCAACTTAAGAATCAATGCCTTTTTATTTTGAAGGTCTCCAGAGCATAAAGAGCTTAAACTTCACAGAATTCAGGTTAGACAGGAGTCCCTGGAAGTACAGTGGATTCTTAGAGGGATTATAATGACTGGAAAATAATATATGTAGGTCTAGGAATACTTTTGTTCACCAGTATCCACTCTGTCTGTGTGAAACTTGCCCTGCAGAGACAACGGCTTCGACTACCTTGAGTTCCGGCTGTGGATTGGCCTGTGGTCAGGTATATACTGTCTGGTGCTGGTCGCCACAGATGCCAGCTTCCTAGTACAGTACTTCACCCGGTTCACAGAGGAAGGCTTCTCTGCACTCATCAGCTTCATCTTCATCTATGATGCTTTCAAAAAGATGATAAAGCTGGGCCACCACAACCCGATCAACTCTGAATACGATCCTGACCTCGTCACTCAGTACAGCTGCCACTGCGTGCCTGGTACCTCTGTTCTTCACTTTAGCTGTTGCAGATTACACCAAATAGCTGGAATGGCCACATTAAGTTGGATTAAAGGGGGATTTCACTATATTAAGTAGCATAGGCAGGGTCTGATAACTCCACTCAGCAACCTTGAACTATACTTTGCTTAAACACTTCTCATTGTTGATTATATCTGTGCCAGCAGAATCTCAGACAGTGAAAGCTGAACAATCTTATTTGGCTTTGTCCTTTTGGCAGTGGTGTTCCTGTTGTATGTTAAACAAACCTTTCAACTTATTTATCTGTTTACAGTGGAGATAAGTGATACCGGTGTGTGTCGGCCTGTAGATACCAATGTTTGCTTTCTCAACAGCCATATCGGTGTCCGCGTCACAAATGACACAAAAGATATTGACACAGACTGAAAATGGAGAGTATAAGTATTCTGATTATTATTGTTTCTCCTAATAGGCAACTCATCAGAGCTTGATGTCTCTGCCTGGACAAACGGCACTGATCTGGTAAATTATGCCCTTGTTCTTGTGCCTGTTGGTTAAAATTCTGACTACATGCTACTGTTTACTAAACTGCTAAAGCTTTCTCTTCAATAATTGTTACATGTCAATTTAAAGGAACCTCTTTGTCCTTGTCTGTTCAGCCAGTGAATGCCACTTGGGCATCACTGACCAGGGAGCAGTGTCTGAAATATGGAGGGCAGCTGGTCGGAGAGAATTGTCACTATGTGCCTGACATCACCCTGATGTCCTTCATCTTGTTCTTTGGGACATACACCTGTTCAATGTTCCTAAAGAAGTTCAAGACGAGCCGCTTCTTCCCCACCACAGTGAGTGAAGGCGCCTATCAGTTGACCTGTAGCACAGACCGTGCCAGCTTTGGCCCCACAGTGAACAACAACTCGAGTGTTCTTTCCCAAATGCTTTTTACTGGCACGTCTCAGGCTCCGGTGTCAATAAGGGTCTGGGTGGGAAGTTCAGATTTCACACTGTTAACAGTGTTTTAGGCACAGAAGGCATAAGGATTCATGTCTGGTCTGTAACTTACAGCCACCTATGTACATTTCCAGTACTCATCAGGTAGTTCTCCAAAGTAAAAGGGGATCAACAAGTAACTCTTGAACAAGACTTAAGGATCTACAGCCATGCTAGCAGCATGTCAGTGTTAACGTCAACATGCTCATATACAAAATGACAGTACTAAGCATGCTAACGTTCGTGGGTATAACGTTTACAATGTTCACCACCGTATTTTATGATAATTAGCTCTAAAAGTGTAACTGAAGCTGATGAAAATGCCATTAGTTTTACCAGGTATATGGTCATAAACAAATAAAAGCTTTGACCTGATGATGGTGCACGATGGAAACTTGAGTTTATCCTGAGGGGTGTGTCAATGTCCGTACAAACCTTCTTGTCTAGTGTGTCTAGCACCATATTTTACCATTTACATGATGGTCCTTTAACGTTCTTGCCAGTAATTTGTTAGCTAATGGTCTGGTTTAAAACCTGTTGCCGACTGCTGCTCAACTGTTTACTTACTGATACATACTGTGTAATTACACTCACTGTATTTGCAGAAGTAAAAGCGCAGACTTGGAAAGGTCGTATCTGCCAGTTTTTATCTAAAAACACTGTAGTTCTTTGTCACACACTCAAAGAAAAATGTCACAAGCTATAAAACATTTTCTCTTTCTAGGTGAGGAAGCTCATCAGTGACTTTGCCATTGTCTTGACCATTCTTCTCTTCTGCGGTGTAGACGCCTTTGTCAGTGTGGACACTCCAAAACTCATAGTGCCAAGTGAATTCAAGGTACATACAACAGATGGAAGAAGTACAAGAGAGTTGAAATTCCTTGCACTGACGTGACACTGGCCAGTCAGGTGTAGTTTCCTCTGATTACATTGATAATGACTCATGTTTCTGCTAGAAAGCTTCCATAGTTCTTCAAAATCTCAGTATAATGCTTTCTTTGTGATGCATATTACCTGAAACTGAGACACAGTCATTCTTGGAAATTTCTGCACTCAGCTGACGTTAAGACATAGAGGAAGGGAATGACTGGGTAGAAGAAAGGCTACCTGCATCAAAGAACAACTTAATTATAGGTGATGTGAGAACATAGATGGCCTTACAATTGCAAATACAGAGCCAGCTTTGTTTCAGCACAGTCACAGATTAAGTCATGAAATGAAGCACCAGTAATTAGACTCAGCTCAGTATTAGAACTCACTAACTGTAATGAAGTAACTATTTCAACAGTGTATTTTTTTTTTTTTCCTGCTCTATTTGAGATGTTCTCCATGTCTGAAGGTCTGGACCGTGTGCATGCATATGTTTCACCATGTTTCGGGGACTGGGTAACTTCAACAGTCTTGTTTTTGTGTAGCCCACAAGTCCACATAGGGGCTGGTTTGTTGCTCCTTTTGGAGGGAACCCTTGGTGGGTGTACCTGGCAGCCGCTCTCCCCGCTCTGCTGGTCACCATCCTGGTGTTCATGGACCAGCAGATCACTGCCGTGATCGTCAACAGGAAAGAGCACAAACTCAAGGTTGGTGCACCACCTCAAAGTTTTATTCATTTTTAAAATTTTTGGAATAAATGAATGCAGTGAAAGATTAGGCTGTATGGGGAAACTGCTAAACATAAAGAGATGTAGCCAGGATTTTAAAAAATATTATGGTTTAAGTGTCCAAAGTACCTCTGTGTGGCCACTCACCCCTATAAAAATACTTAACTATTCACCTAGAAGGCTGGAAAAATAGCTTTTTTCATATTTGTAATATTAATTTAACTTTAAAAAATCTCTTTGCTAAATCGTCTTGTAATAGTCTCTCAATGCTTCCCCATGATGCCAGGAAAACACCACAGAGAATTCATGGTGGTAAAATTCAGTCTTTTCATTTTATTGCGACTTCTGGTCTAAACCAATCAGATCTTAATTATTATGCTATACTATATTTGTGTGGTATCGTCTCTAAACCTCTCTGAAATCCCGAGGAAAGGGCTTCTCTGACTGTGGTATCTGTGGCTTTGTGAGAATCTCTCTTCTTTTGCTCCGAGTCTGATCAGCTCGTTGCTTCTCTGCTGTTTTCCTCACGTGTCGTCTCAGAAAGGGGCAGGTTATCACTTGGATCTCTTCTGGGTGGCCATTCTCTTGATCATCTGCTCTTTCATGGGCCTGCCATGGTACGTGGCCGCCACTGTCATCTCCATCGCTCACATCGACTCTCTGAAAATGGAGAGCCAGACGTCAGCCCCCGGAGAGCAGCCCAAATTCCTGGGTGTCAGGTGAGTTAACACAGCCGCTGGACACTGTGTCTGCGTCAATAAAGAATTAAGTTGTTTATCACCTATTGGACCAGAACAGAGGCTTTTAACCCTTTTCTCTATTTTCCCAGAGTGTTGTTGGCTTTTGACTGTGCCAAGTAGTTAATTGCATTCACTGTGGATTCCCAGGGTAAATAAATCTCTTAGCAGGTGGCTAGAAGTTAGATTAATAGAGCTTTTAGGACCATGGGCCACGGTGCTGTGTGTAAAATCAACACCAAAAGTTTATGTATATGCACACATGACAAAATGGTGTGTGCCAAAAGCTGTACAGAGTTGTTTCCCAACAAGAGAAGGCCCTCACAGTAAGTAAACGTAGTTGTTCAGGAGAAAGAAGCAGTCTCATGTAGTGAATCACACATTTCACAATCAGGAAGGAGACAAAGAATGAAGAAAGAGATTAGCTTTCTTATAAAGGTGGATTCATTGAAAAGAAGGAAGAAGGAAACACTTGGGGGTGAGGAGAAGGCTGGGAAACGTTTTGCCTGGTTAATAGAACACGTTCTCCAGGCTACGATGTGTCTGTTATGGTCTGATGAGTTTGTCAAGCTGACTTCCTCCGTGTGGTTAATGGGCTTATGAAATATTGTTAACCTTAAGTTTCTATGTAAAAGTGAAGCGTTTCTTTTAAAGCCCCATTTTGTATGTACTAGCGAAGTCCTAGACTGAAATGTTTATGGTACAAAGTGTTTAGTGTGGATGTCTTTGTTCAGATCTGCTATCTTATGCTTATCAGAGCTACTGATTAATTCTGTGTTTCTCTAATCCAGGGAACAAAGAGTCACTGGCATCTGTGTGTTCCTCCTGACAGGACTCTCTGTCTTTATGGCTCCTGTCCTCAAGGTAGTGCTCCAACTTCTTAATTCTTCCACGGAAACATGGATTACTGTCTGGCTCTTTTAGGACAAACTCCTGTCACCCTTCTTATATTTAATATAATTTCAAACCTTTTACTCATCCAATTAGGGACTCCCATAGTTAAAGTAATGCGCCGTGAGAAACCATGTTCATCAGGGATTAAGCTCCAGTTGCAGCCGTATCCAGTTTCCATTCGCTCATTCAGCTGCCAAGTAAAAAAATGTGAAGTCAGTGAGAGGAGATTGGGGGAGCTGGTTCTCCCCCTTGTGGACATTTTGAATACTAAACTTCTGATCTTACATTTTCATTTTCATGCTGTCTTGTCTCGTACAGTATAGTGATGTTGCAAATAATGCATTATGATTAATAATGATACATAAAATAAATTTTCATATGTCACACTTAATTATCTTCTGTCTCAAATAATTAGTTGGTATGTTCCTGCTGCTGTTCCACCAGCTGCTTAGACCATAATGGACCCCCCCACACACACACCCCCCCACACCCCCGGCTTTAAAGTTGATAGCTGACTCCTTGACTAACATTAAAGCAGGTAGTTACCAAACCTGCACACGGGCCACATGAGGAACCAGTCACCCTGATTTAAGAACGTTCTTAGAAAAGCTGCTTGCAGACTGTCTCTAATCTGAGCTGTGATGCCAAAAATAAATGTTCCCACTACCTGTATGAACAGACGGCTAACGTCTCTAGCATGTCTTGAGTATATAGAATATGTCTGACCTACACTGACTTTACTGCCAGTTACTCATCAGATTCATCTCCTGCTTTTATTGTGCTGTGTCCTACAGTTCATTCCTATGCCTGTGCTCTATGGTGTGTTCCTCTACATGGGCGTGGCATCACTCAATGGTGTCCAGGTGAGTGAGTCTGACCTGTTACCTGAATAACTAACAGTCTACTGCTCATTACATTTAACTTACTGGAAAAGTAATTGGTCACACTACTTTTATTTTATTAACTTAATCCAGCAGCTCCATCAGAAGGCACCTTTAAATGCCTCTGAAGCCTCTGCACATCACATCTTTTGTATTAACATGTAGAAATAAATAAAAAGACCTTGTCTAACAAACAGCAGACCTATAGTCACTACTAGCTCAGCACACCTGTTCAGAAACTCTCAACTCTGAACAAAGCCTACCTGAATGTAGGCATACTAAGCTAAGCTACCAGCTGGCATCTGTCTTCTATGCTGATCACCTCCCCACGCCTTCAGCTGCTGTGCCAAGAAGTTGTGCTCTTTAAGGGCATAGCGACATTAACCCTCATCAAACTGCTAACAGTACACAGGCTGACCCCAAAATGTCCAATTAAAGGAATGTTTCTTGAATTTGTGCTTCAAATTGTAATCCCACCCGTCATTAAAACAAGTGACCACATTAAAATCTTTGCCAATGCGCTGCTGCCTTAAATAAACATCATAAGCAAATCTGAGATATAACAACCTTAAAACTGTTTGCCCTCTCATTGTAACAACCACAAGCTAATAAACATAGTGCTCTTTTATGCAATATGTCTGCAGTAACTGGCATATACTGTGCAGATATTATTGTGATTCTGACTGCAGCACATACAGTGTCTTTACTTGTCCTGTGTTCAGTTCATGGACCGCCTCCAGCTGCTCCTCATGCCAGGCAAGCACCAGCCAGATCTAATATACCTACGGCACGTCCCCCTCAGACGGATCCACCTCTTTACCTTCCTCCAGTGCTTGTGTTTGGCCCTTCTCTGGATCCTCAAGTCTACCGTGGCTGCTATAATCTTCCCTGTCATGGTGAGACATGGTCAATGACCTACTGGACCTACCTCAGTGTCGGGGTGTGAAAGCTGCAACAACCAAATGGTTTCTTTGTTTACAGATCTTGGCGTTGGTTGCAGTACGCAAGGCCCTGGACTACGTGTTCTCCCAACATGACCTCAGCTACCTGGATGATGTCATCCCAGAAAAAGACAAGAAGAAGAAGGAGGATGAGAAGAAAAAGAAAAGCAAGAAGGGGAGCATCGACAGCGATATTGACTACGTAAGTAAATCATGGTCTCAATCGAAATATTTAAATGTCCATAAGTGTAGATGAGAAAATACCAAAGTACACGTCACCTTTTCATGTGCCCAGTGTCTACAGTCCTCCTGTAGATCCTCACCTTAAAGAATGTTCATGTTCTCCCTCCCTCCTCCAACAGCCCGACTACCCCTACCATGACAATGCCCCCAGTGTAAAAATCTCTATGGATATGATGGAGCAGGAGCCCATGTTGGGGGATAAATCCACCCATAGTGAGTACTAGCCAGGGTTTGTGTTGCTCCAGCTCCTAGCGCTGTTTGAATGCTCCTTCTAATGACTTTTTCTGTCGGTTCTCAATGTTATAACACTAAAAGCAGCTTTGTGGTGCTTGCCCTCTTTCCTTTTCTTTCCTGCTTGTCCATCTGAAATTTCACTGTTTGAAACTTTGCTTTGTTTTTCCCTCCGTAGGAGATGAATCCCAGACTTTCATTCACTCACATTCGCGGTGCTGAGCACCTCTTTGAGTCTCCCACTGTGGCTGAGTAAGTGAGTAGCAGCTGCACATACTGTATCGTCAAGTAATTCACACAGAACTGGAAGTTCACAAGACATCGGGTTTATATTGCTCTATATCTCCTCCTGTTTCAGTCTTGACAGAAGCTCATGCACAAAATGTTTGCCTCAAATTCAAATAGACCGGGATTCGGAGAACAACAGTTCTTCTGGAAGAAGGGTCCAGCAACTGATCTGTGAATGAATTGTCCAAAGATACAGCAGAACCAGCACAACCTAACGAACGCAAGATCCTCTTTCATAAGAAAGTACTGCGTAATATTGTTATTTTTTTAATATGTGAGGATCTAAATCCAAATTGCTGGAAGTACTTTTGTCTTAAACTTGAAGCACTCTGGTGGTACTGTATCATAGTGAAGACTTAGACGAGGATGGTTTGACTGTTTGTCTGCACGATTTCTTGCCGAAAACAAAAGGGCTAGTCCGCGTTGTTTTTTTATTGAACATTAAGATATTAATGTGCACGCTGATAATTTATAAAGCATCTAGCTAAAGATGTATAGTCATCAGAGAGAATACATATGGCTTTATACACACCAGTCCTCACTCTGTACATACAAGGAGGAATTCTCCACTGATTTCTTTTTTTTTTATAGATTTTTCCCAAACATACTGTAACTAGCCTCTCCTCTGATAGTACTGCTTTATAGTTATTCTTTAACATTCCTTTTAGGTTTTAACTCATAATTACTGGAATCTTATGGGTTGAGTATAGTAGAGGTAAAGCATTTTGGGGTGAGCACAGGGGATACACATGGGAAATCCTCCTCTATATGTAGTGAACAGAAGGACTATGAAAGGCCATCTCTGTACAGCCATGAGTGGACGTTACATTTTGTTTTATGGGCATATAAATTATTTATCAGGCACTCAGCTGTGGCTGCATATTCATAAAACACACCCAGATGATGCTCTAGCACCATGTTTGTTTCAGTATGGTGAGAAGTAAATGGTTCAGCACTCTACAAACTACAACTTTCTTCCTTTCTTCTATATTTATTATATTTAAACTCTTTGCTGTTTGAAGCTTAAGAATGGCCGTTTAACTTCCTAGTCCTTCTTTCTGCGGTCTCTGTCAACTTCGTTGTGTTTTTTCTGTTTTAGAGAGATGAAATATACGTCTTGTATCCCTGTGGGTGTCAGACATGATGCAGGGTATTAAAACCATCTGTTTGGACAGTTCCTTATTTTAAGTCCTTCCTCATTCAATTTGAAGTAAAATAATGGACACTACATTAAAGTGCCAAGTATCAGCTCTAATTTGAGCAGGCTTGCATCAATGTTGGGGTAAAAAGCACTTTTAGCACTTAGACGCTGAGCTACTAAATGTTTGTTTGGCAACTTGGTTATTTCAACCTCATTCAATATAAGCTCACATGTGGCTCGGCACTGGTTTACACTGAGGTGGAGTTGTTCATCATTTTGAAGGGTAAAGACAGGAAAAAAGCAGGCGAGCACAAGGAAACTAGAAACTGGCACACAAACTGGCACTTTGGTGTAGTATCTCCAGTTTTATTTCAGTTTGAAGCACAGAGCCCGAAGAACAAAAATGTGTAACTGCCCAAGTATTTAGTCTGTACTGGTTTTGTGATCAAATACTGATTTTATTTAATTTTATTTAAGTGACACTGCATACGATCAGTGAATTTTCACTTGGATTTCACTTTACTTTATGTTCTGACACTTAGCATCCTGTTTTTTTTTGGTTGTTTATTTTTTTAAGTGTTATAAAGGGAAATTCCACCAAAATTTCCTTTTTAAAATGTTTCATCCCAGAGGCAAAGAAGTTTAAAATGGTAAATGTAATGAACACTACAGATACAGGATCAACAAGCAATGAAAAGCAGGCAAAAGTGATGGTCTGTCCCTCTGATACTGACCGTAAACTCAAACCTAGAAGCATATTTGAGTTGAAGTTTCCTTTAAAATGTGATGATGTTTAAACTGTGTTTATGTTTTGGATTAAATCTGAGGCACTGCGGTGTTGTGACGTCTGGTCCTGGAAGAACTGTTGCTTTAAGGTGTACAGAGTAAAACGTGCACAGTCTTTAATGCGTCATGATCCAACATCCATTTAGAGACAGTTTGATAAGCAGTGAAATGTAACGGTCTTTAATTTTCCGATATTGTTTTAATGACTGATCATGCTTTTATTACTGATTCTAATATATACTTTGAACTGATTCAGTAAACTTAAGTTATTATTGCATATCTGAATGTAATGCCATGCATACATGTGCACATACTCCTACAGTAAATGCTGTTTTATGGTATTTACTGAAGATAAGGGCTTTAATTCAGGCTCTCACTGTTCTGTCAATGTGCTGTTGAAATGAGAAGCACAAGACTATTAATGTTGCTTTGAACCAAAAATCAAAACCAACACTGTCTTCCACTTTGTTCTGTGATCAGTATATCATGACTTTCTGGTCATGATTCCACAGTTAGTGTAATATTTTTGATGTTCTAACTCTGAAATCAGTTTTATACAAGCATCTTAACCATAGGTTAACAGAAGGAAGCCGATGCCAGTAATCTTTTTTTTAAATGAAGTAGTGTTTTAATTGAGATCAATAAAGCTGTCCAGATGATTCTTAAATACTTGGTTGCGTTTTTATTTATTATTTTGAAGAGTTTCATCCATGCAGCTCCAACAGGAAAGGTTTTCAAATTACTAAGAGAGCTAATAGTGCTCTGTGACATGTCAGCACTACAGAGGGTTTACTTTCTGTACATACTATGCAAGCAAACAAGCCAGTTAATCATCTGAAGTGTCTTTGGACTTTTGCCAGCGTCTGTTCTGAGCACAACCATATTGTAACTATAGGAAATTTGATCAGAAATGGACAAAGATATGTTATAAGATGAATGACTATGTGGTTTGGGAGATGAAGACAAGTGAAGCTCAGAGCTAAGCCACAGACATGGTCATCACATCCTGCTGGAAGTGCTCAGTGTGACAGTAAAGATAAGAATCCTTTATCTTCTGCATAGTTTCCACAGTCACAAGACTCGAGTGTGCTGTAATGAAGCCAACTGGTTCATTACCACGAGTTACTATGTCCTTGTGTTTGCCTAGAGGGAAAAAGAGCATGTAATAATTAACTCTTTCACCAGTGCTGGAGAGGACATCAGTGGTTTTTCCATGACATCCTCTCAGGTTAATGTTTTTGGCTGTTACAGGTATTGCTCAAGGGAATGAATACGAGTAATTCTGACTGTCAAAGCTCAACAACTTGTACTTGAATATCCTCAGAACATCTCTTCATCCACTCTATCTGATCCTTCACATGGTGTTTAATCCCAGACCATATTATATTGTGGCTCAAGGGGGCAGTAGTGACTTACACATGCATTTGTGCAAGTGCATTCATTCATTTATTTGTGATTCATTCATCATGCAGGTACTAATTTGCATTCTTAAAGATAATAAGGAAGGTTTCTCTGCAGGAAATCCCAGAAGAGCTGCTCAGCAGATGCATGAACAAACCTTTAAGCTTGTTCTGAAATAGAGCACCACTTAATGGGATTCACTGTGTTACTTCTTTGTTAAAAGCTTATTAAGAGACAGTAAAGCCCATTTGTTCCTGGAAAAGAAAAAAAGAATAAAAATTACACTAATTACATTAATTGATTTTTAAATATGAGTGTTTGTAATAAGTCAAAATTATGGCATGTGAGTTAAAACAGAGTTAACATTGGCATTAAGCATTTTTATTTTTCTCGTGTTGAACTTTGTATCTAGTTCTCTGTCTTTTCCTGGAATAAAAAGTGGCCCATAGTCCTTCACAGTGACAATTGTCAGTAGTCAAGGAGTCTACAGCACAATAAGGATTTAAAGCCAGTTACTGAAGCAGCCCTCTTCGTTCAATTCACCATCAGTGATACGGCTCCTTTCTGTCATGTCTGCTTAAAGCCATGAGGAATATTTTTGTTATGTCTGCATGACAAAATGCCATTGCTTTAGAAGCTTGATGAAACCAGCAGCGTTTTGTATTTGTCTTAAAAAGGCTACATAAACACATATACATGTTTTTGGATTGTAGCTTGATAACTGGAGGATTGATTCAAGATGAGTAATGAGATTCCTTAATATCCTGATTGATGCTGAAGAACACAGGAGTGTCTTTGAAAAGCTCTGCCTCTCACTGGCACAGAGTCGGTGCATAGTGTGACAGCTACATATGTATATACTGTATGTTAATTCCCACATGGCTCCTCGTGTCTGCACCACCCAGTGACTCTCACCTCCTCTCTGTTATTGATAAATGCTCCAGCAGTCTCCGCCTGGCAGGAGCACTGAGCAGACGCTCGGAGCATCATGTAGCGATGAGAATGTGCAGCTTTGTCCTGAATTAGTGGACTTTCTAACATATTATACCACATGTAACAGCAGAAGAAAGGAATGCAGCTCATGTGAGGTAAGAAATACATGTAGTATACGGTAATGTTGACCTAGGTAGTGTACCACTGAGCAAACTTTCCATCTCATCACCTTGGTTAATTAGTTATGTGTGCACAGTACTGTATAATGAACTCTTGATAGAGAGATAGATACTTTATTGTCATTGCATTTATGAAGCACAGTGAAATTCAGTTTAGCAGCAGACCAGTCCACGTAGCAGCAGATATATAATACAGAGAACAGGATACCAGTCACCCATAAGTAAGTTAGATCTAAGACCTGAAATCTTAAGTTTGAATCAGTAAATAAATCTAAGTTCAAATATGACAGAATTGGCATAAAAATGCAGCCAAATTAAAGTTGACTGCTCACTGAACAAAACCTCTGTTGGATTAAACTGAATCATTTTTGCTTTGGTTATCAGCTGAACAAAGCTGCACCGGGCACGACATTTAAAAGTGCTCACTAAAAGACAAAGACGAGTGATTTCCTCTCATTCACAGAGAAACTGACTGAACCTGCTCCACTGTGGTTTAATTTTTATGAGGAAGGCTGCACTTTGTTTGGCAACCCTTTATAAACTGTTGTGAAGTGGATATAATGTATGAAATAACAGTTTGATAAAACATAATTCAAGTTTTGCAAAAGGCACGAGCCTAATCTGGCAGAAAATCTAAAGAGCTATAAAACTTATCAATCACATAATGGTCAAAAAGAGTTGGAAGTCAATAACAGTATCATTGAAATTCACTGAAGTCTATAGTAACCTCATGCCAGAATCAGATGACTGATGCAGACAGGGCATCATTTCCCACTGCTGTCAAAACCGATATGTCACAGGTTTGCCATGTGTTATGCCTCTGCCTGTCTCTGTTTCCCTCTCTCTTTCCCCCAGATGTCACCATGACCAAGAATGTCAACACTACCTGGGAGGACCTGAAGCCTTTCAATTCATCAGGACTGTGGGAAAGCCCTTTGCCCCATCAGAACATCACCTATGTTAGTTTCTACCTCCATGAGCCCTCTGTGGCTGCAGTCTTCACCATCTCCTACCTGCTAATCTTTGTGCTGTGCATGCTGGGCAACGGGGTGGTGTGCTTCATTGTGCTGCGCAGCAAGAACATGCGCACTGTCACCAACCTGTTCATCCTCAACCTCGCCATCAGTGACCTGTTGGTCGGCATCTTTTGCGTGCCGACCACTCTGGTGGACAACATCATAACAGGTCAGAATACAACTTGTTCTGTTTAACAACAAGCCTAAATTGAAACCAGATGATTAAATGAGGAAAATCCCTGATCAGTTCATTGGTTGATTGGTAAATATATTCAGCTGAGGTGGCGTGGTGTTGCAGTGGTTAGCACTGTCGCCTCACAGCAAGAAGGTTCTGGATTCGAACCTTTCTGTGTGGAGTCTCCATGTTCTTGTGTCTGCATGGGTTTTCTACAGTTCCTCCTACAGGTATGCAGGTTAGGTTGAGAGGTGACTCTAAATTGCCCCACAACGCTGTACTGGAGAGGCCGTGTAGATAATGGATGAACATAAATATTCAGCTTGTGCAAAACTAGAGGAAAGCAAATCTAATATGTTCCAACTATTAGAAGTTAGCATTTAAATGATTCATGCAGCCTGTTTTTTATGTTTTTACACTTTTAACAGATTTCCTCTTTTCTGCAGGATGGCCATTTGGTAGCATGGTGTGTAAGCTAAGTGGGATGGTTCAGGGGATTTCTGTGTCAGCATCTGTGTTCACTCTAGTGGCAATAGCTGTTGAGAGGTGAGGGTTGTACTGGTATTACTGGTTTTTATGTGCTTGTGTGGGCAGGTTTTTAATCCTGCATTTCCTCTTTGTGTTAGGTTCCACTGCATTGTCTATCCTTTCAAGCAGAGGCTCACCATTGCCACCTCAAAATTAATTATTGTCATCATATGGTTCCTGGCTGTGTTCATCATGTGTCCCTCAGGGGTCATGCTCCAGGTCACCAAGGAGCAGACGGTGCGAATAGTTCTTGGCCAAGACAACAACACCCACCCATTCTACTGGTGCCGGGAAAACTGGCCCAGTCAGGAGATGCGGAAAATCTATACCACTGTCCTTTTTGCCAACATCTACCTTGCCCCTCTCACCCTTATTGTCCTCATGTACGCACGCATTGGCTTCACCCTTTTCAAGTCCCCTGTTCCTCCGATGAGGGTCAGTGGAATTGTGTCTAGAGAAGGAAGCGACAACAACAAATCAAGCACAGAAGGTCGTCACACGATTTCAAGTAAAAAGAAGCGGGTGATAATGATGCTGCTGGTTGTGGCTCTGCTCTTCATTCTGTCCTGGCTGCCATTGTGGACACTGATGATGCTGAGTGACTACGCTACCCTGACGGAGCACCAGCATCGTGTCATCAATATCTACATGTATCCATTAGCTCACTGGTTGGCCTTTTTCAACAGCAGTGTCAACCCCATCATTTATGGGTTCTTCAATGAGAACTTCCGTAGAGGCTTCCAGGCAGCTTTCAAATTCCAGCTGTGCTCTGCTTACATTGTGCGCCAGAACACCTGCTCCCAGCGGAGCCGAGGGAACGCCATTGTCCCGCTCCAGCATGCTGCCCTCAGCAGTCCAAGAGTTGGATCGGTGTTAGTGGAGAAAGGGAAGGGCTTGGCTGGTAGACAGCATATCAAAGAGCAGGTCCTGGTCATGGAGGACCTGGAAAATGATGCCCAGAATTAGACAGACTGAGACTGTGGAGCACATTGACACTTTCTGAGGCCTCAGGAGAATCTCAGCCAGATTGCAAGGACCAGTGACAAACAGCCATAAAAATACATGATTAAATTCAATGTATACTTGTTCCAGAGTGAATGTATCTCTGCAACATTTGTCATCGTGAGTAAACCTAACAATTGTTGAAGGGTCTGAAATTTAATTTAAACTTTTAAGTACTTTTATGACAAACTAAACAACCATCAGAGTTAAAGTTTGGAAAAAACATCCTTAGGTAAGTTTATTAAAAATATACTCCTCAATATTTCAGTTTGACAGTATGACAGTAAGTGTGGCTTCACACTCCTTAAGCAGCCACTTTGTCAGAGAAGCAACAGGAGAGCAGTGCATCCAAACTTACTGGTTTTGAAAGTGGCCAATAATGACTGCAAATGCCATCTGATGGCAGCTTTGTCCTCTTGCAAAAAATAAGAATATTACTGTGGGAAAGTGAATAGTGAGGCTCACATTGGTGAGATAGAATCATATTGTACATGCAGCTTTTCCATTCAAAAATTCTCATATACTGTATATAATGAATGTTCTGCTATAATGGGACAACCTGAGTTGTGCTATGATCAGGCATCATCTCATAATGATAGTGTCATGTAAAATTAAGCAGTTTTCTGGAAGCTGTGAGGGTTTTATGTGCTTTTGCTGAACCAAAATAACATAGTTGTGTAGAGTTAAGAGTGCATATATTTACAGATACAGATATATTCTACAGATATAGATATTTATTATGGTTGTAAAAACACATATGGCACTGTTTAGTTCAACAGATGTGATGGTTATGAAAGTGACATTACAGAGAGCAGCTCAGGGATTGAAGGAGAAGAAGAAGAATACTTCACTGACAGGGTAGCAGTGTGTACACAGTGTACTTGACCTATTTTTCTGTTTTCATTTGGTATCAGCAGTTTGCTCATAGATTGTACTAAAAGACTCATTTATCAATCACCAGAAGAAAGATGTGTTGATATACAAATAATTCTGAAGGTGTATGATGTAACCATGGCTGCTTTAGTTTGTGAACCTGTCTGCCTTCATTTACATAAATGACTTTCTAATATGTAACGTCCAGTATATTCTAATCAACCTATATGTTATTTGTAGATCTAAATATGGGTAAAACACTGTACTGTACTGCTGTTTTCAGCTTGTTTGCAACATAGACAAAATGAAAAATCAAACTGAGACAATGTTGTGAGCGTATTCGTTATTCTTCCATCGCAGTAGTAAGGCTAAATAGAGCAAGTGAAGATTTTGTAAGAGAACAAGTAATATTCTTTTTAAAGAAGGCAATGTGTGCATTGCTTTCCATTTTCCCCTCCTTTGAGAACTGCCACCTTAATGTGGTGCAGGCTCTTGTGTACCCCAGGGATGTGGAAGCTGTTAGCGTTTCCCAAGGCTAATCGGTCCCAGGGGAGAGGCCGGACAAAAAGCAATGGAACAAGCTTTTTGGAGCTTTGTCACCAAACCTGGAGGGAAACAGAGGCCCCCTCCTGTAGCCAGACCCAGAGGGGAGCTCACTGGCCAACATCTGTTGGTTGGGCCTTAATACATGGAGTTGCTTGGGATGAACAGACTCATCAAATGAGCTCGGGTGGTGTTTTGTTATTGGACTTCTGTGCTCTAGTCCTGGACTGGGGATAACAAACACCATGTTCGAACATAAGATGATTCATGTCTACTTGGTATCAAAACACCTTAGGCCAAAGTCAGCCGGTAGGCTGATCATCACCTGGTCAGGTAGACCTGGTAAACCCAGATGTGTAGTGAGAGTGAGCCTTTCTGGCAGGGCAGAATAACAGTGACAGTGACAGAGCAACAACATCAAATGGGGTCAACTGATACTACAGGTGATTAGTGAAGGCCATGATTAATGCAGAGCAAATGATCTATTAATCTGTGTCCTATGGGTAAAGAGAACATGGATTGTCTCCTCAACAGATTAAAGTCGCCTCCTGGACCCACTAATCTCCAAAAGCCATTAGCACATCTACCTTCAGCAATATCTGTATCCATTATTCCATTAGGTTTATGTGACGTGAGATTTTCATCAAGAAGACACTCTGCTAGCCAGAGCTGTTTACTGTAGCAGCCCACACCTTTTAGCTGCTCCAGACGAGGGACATCGTTAAGCTCCAAACATCTGTAAGGAGCATTTTACTTCTGACACTCTGCACTTCATTAAGTGTTCCTGTCTAACAACACTTGTCAGAAGTATAGAGATGACCAGACAGTTCGCTTGCACCACCTACTGGTGAGTAACCAACCAACTAACAATAATAATAGTAGAATAATAATGACATTATTCATCGACACCTGGGGCTTTTTGGTAAAATTTATTTGCAAGTGTTTAAGTGACACATGTTTCCAGAGATTGTCTTAACAATGACTTCTTCCATCCTCCTCAGTAACCAGGGGAGTAAATGAAAAGCAGTTTAAGTTTTGAATTACTCTTCACACAAACTGTACAATGTGAATATACTATAGCACAAGGGATACAAATGTTTACCTTGATTAGAGCCAAACTCGTTTCATTCAAGTATCAGAAACAGACAAAAGGTATATTGTCAGTATGACTTTATACTTCCACAATGTTTTTGATCAATTCTAAAATCACATTCAGCAATTTTAAACAAACTGTCAATGTCCAGCTGCTCTCATTTTCGTTAAAAGCCTCCCGTGTGCTTCGATTCTCCGGCCATGAACACATCAACACTGCCAGCTCCAGGAGAGATATACATGTCATGCTCCAATATGAAAACATTTCATACAAGTGAATATACTGATTAAAAAGAGTCAGTGATACTGGTGGTTTACATAATATCTGCAGAAGCAATCACAGCGACTAAGTCGGATAAAACAGAAATGACAGTTATTGTAAAAGATCAGCTACATAAAAGGAAACAGCATTATGTGCAGCAGCATGAGTTGACTTATCAAAAAGAAAAGGTACAGTTCAGTATGTGCCTGTCTCTGAGCGGTCCATCCTGTTTTATTTTCAAAGACCTTTCTTTTGAAATAAAATGATGAAACCAACAAAAAAGCAATATTTCAGAGAATAGACATGAATAAAAATACAAAAACTGGAGGGCCTTTCAGTTCAACCTTCATCTTTTGTGGTGTTATCTTCTAGATCCTCATCGCTGTCTAAATCACTGTGGAGCCTCTTGGATGTCATATTTCTGCTTCTCTCCTCCTTATTCTCCTTCTTTAACTGGACTGGTAATGGTTTCACTGGTTATAACAAGAGAAAACAAGATGCAAAACTATGGTAGTTGTAATTTTAAAATGTTGGCGTAATAGAAACATTTGGATGCCACACGCAGAAGCAACCAACAGATGAGCATTTCATTTGTAGAAACAGCATCTGTCCTGATGTTTGTGTCACAGCTCTCACCTGCTGATGGAACAAACTGGTCTTCGGCTCTGCCGCCATTATCACTGTGACTGGCACTAACCATCTCTTTCTGTTCCTCGTCTGTGACAATTCTCTGTCTCGCGCTCTCGAAAACAGACTTAATGACAATTGAATCCTCATAGATCTGCAGCGGCAAACAGAGACACACACAAGCATAGTTAATCAAAACGATTGTTTCTCACCAGTTCCCAGCAAACCCATTTAGGGGTACAATAACAGAACGGAAACTATGAAAAATAACTGTAATGAAAGAGTTCCTCGGGGTTCACCTGAGATCCTTCCAAGTTATAAGTCTGAGCATTGTGACACAGGAGGAAAATGTCCTTTTCCAAATCACCCACACTTCTGTATTTGTGATTACGCACACGTTCCTGTGAAACAGAGGGTCACAATCAAAATCTTAATGTCACCACTGTGAAATAATCAGATATTAATAATAAGTATGGTGTTTAGTCCAAGAAAGGGTGCAGAAATGGAGACCCAGACGATGTTATACATTTTGGAAAATATACTTATTCACTTTGATAATAATCAAACTTGTACACTAAACAGGAAACTGAAAGTCGAGGGAAACTGCTAGCGCCTGCTGGCTCGGGTTGCAAAGTTAATGCACAGATATGAGCGTGTTGTCAATCCTCTCAGCTAACTCATCTAGCACACAAAGTGGAGGGAGTGCTTCTTTCATCATATCATCATATCTTCTTAAATGGAATCATTTTTATCAAGAGCTACAAATTGGTTTCCTTTAGAGTGTGTACGGAGTCTTGGTGCTGTGGTAAGATCAAGTTCAGATCAGCTGAAACCGGATGTAACAAATTCTTGTTTTGAGTATCATAAAAGTGAATAGATGATTAGATTTTTTTAAAATCTTCCTGAGAGCGACCCTTTAAACCTGATGTTCTACTGAATCCCTACTTTGCAGCTCAGGTTTTCTGTGGCCAACAAAGCTTGTTTCATGTACTTACAGTGTGTGTTTGTGGCTCAGGTTTAGCTGATTAAGTTTTATATGTTGTCACTTATTTTGAGATCAATAGCGAGTGAGTCAAAATACAGTAAGTAGCTACAAAATAAGCTTCTGAAATTCCATTCTACTACTATTTATGGTTTTTGGAGCCAAGTCCGTTGTTGTTGCCATGGTAGTGCTGCGTGGCTCAGTCCAGTCCAGTACTTTGGTCAGGACTTATTTTGGTTCAGACATTCATGTTCCCTCAGGATGAACAATAAAAACCTTTGTGATCCTTTAACCTTTCACCATGCATCATAAAACAAACTTACACGTGTCGTCTTTTGATGCATGTGTACCTGTTTGAGTTCCATCGCTGTCTATTTGATTTATATATTGACTTTTGATTTCATCTCATCTGCTGAGATAATAATGACATCTGTAGGTGAGCACCGAGGGTGATCAGTGACACGTACCCTGATCCTTCTGAAGTCCACAGGCTTTCGGATCAGCTCGTAGTACTCAGGCACCTCCTTCTTAGAGGGAAGCTGCACAAAGCCTTTACTGATCTGTCGACCCAACCTGGAATGTGATAATACTAGTTTGATGGTGGTGTCAGTATGTGGCCGACATTGCCGTGGATGCTCATTACTTATTATCTCCAAATAACAAATTCCATTTTGATGGTGCTCATTTCCCCCTTTCATACCTGGTATTCCCAGATAATGATTAAATCACACTTTCATCTGCAGCTATCAAATACTGTTTTCTGGCGATCACCTGTTAAATATCTTCTTATTTTCAGATAGCTAAGTTGCCACAATCCAAGCTCAATTGCTCTGTTGATATTGCACGTCCTGGCAGAGTTGATACAAATGTTCAGTCCTGTCAGCGTTGGCCTCAGCCATTAGCCACACAACAACAGTTCAGTAGTTTTGCTTGAATTGTGGTGAATTGTTATGTTGAAATAGCACAATATTTGAAGCTGTAACTTTCAGCTGCATCCAGCAGCAGTAAGTGGTGAGTGGAATAATGCTTGGTCTACAGCAAAGATGGCGGTGTCGTTGTGAACGATAGCAGGAGATGATGGTGTAGAAATTCTGTGGTAATAACAGTCCTAAAACCATCTAAAGATGTAAACAAGTTTGTGCATTTGGATTAATAATTACAGTAATTAATCACGGTATCATGACACAGTCCTCACCCGTCCTTGTAGTTGATAACCATATCCACCAGTGTGTTCAGTGTTCTGGTGAGTTCAGGTGGATTTGGAGGCAGTTTCTCAGCTGGCGGGCGCCCTCGCTTTCTTTTAACCTTTTCACCAGTTTCCTGTCCAGCCTGGAGATCTTTGTCTCCATGACGATCACCTTTACGCTTCTTCAGACTGATGTCCTCTTCCATCTCCTCCAGGGAACCGTTCTCTCCTGCTTTAAGCTGCAGGAAAGAGGGATGGATAGTTTGGGGACATCTAACAAACTCAAACAAACTCAAAGGGGCAGGGTAAGGTGCATGATAAGAACATGTATGTTGTACAGACAAAGCCTGTAATATTCTTCTATTGTTGTTTAGTTCATAGTTCTGCGGTACAAGGACAAACAGCTGGGGATGTGAAGGAAAAAGAAGAACAGGGACTTACAGTGTTGTTATTCACAACGCTTCCATTCATTTTATCTCACCCTTCAACGTACATGACAATTTGCAGAAGCTGCTACACAAAGTCTGTTTTCCAATGCGGAAACTTAAAGCACTTCAGACAAGTCTGAGACCCTTAAATTAAAGCACTCCATCTAATTAGCAGTACTGGCTGCAGTTTAAGCATTCAGAATTGTAGAGTATGGCTTTGTATTTAAATGAAAAAGTTTTATTTATTTATTCCACTAACAGCTGAGCCACTGTGCTGTCTGTGCAAATTCAGGACATATTATTTTATCTGTGGGCTTTGATGTCAGCTTTTAAAAGCACAGTGAATGTGAATAAATTTGAAGATGTCCTACCAAAGCATATCATCAAAAAAAAATGCAAATAATCCAGTAAATATAAATCCATATTTTCCTGGTTTGCATTTGCCCTCATGCACAAAAATGACATGATTTTCCTGTAGGTGCAGGTGCGTAGTGTTCGGCAGCGGTGTCTGTTGCATCCTGAGATATTTTCAACCATTTCATCATTCCTTTTCAAATATCTGCAGTAACCACTGTATTTTCCACAAAGGCAATTAGAGGCCAGAAACAGGAGTATGCATGCAGCAGCAGCCCAAGTGGAGAGAAGAGGGAGGAAACAGAGAAGACACGTTGTCCAATCTGAACAGAATACTGATGCATCAATCATGTACAGGTGTAGGTCATCATGCAGTACACACACTAGCATGCACATCATGTAACAGAGCTGTGGAGAAGATGTAATTCTCGAGCACAGGAGATGAAAACATGCTGGAACATTACATTTTGAAAACACCGGTGAGAGGAAGAGGAACAGTAATAACTGCCAAGCCTAAACAAATAGGACCGATGGTGACAAACGATGTGATACAGTAAAAATCAAATCGCATGCCCGCACTTCCCAACCAAAGGACAAGGCAGAGACCTGAAAACAACAATAGAAATCCTGCTCATCATCGTTGGGCTCAAATGCAGGGTTTTAAAAGCCCCGCTACTCTCTCTAAGGGGCTGCAGTCGTTCCAGCGGAATACTGGAAGGATTGAGGGTAATCCTCAAAGATGTACAACACAGCTGAGAGCTGCCTGATTGACCGTGCATGTGTGAGTGGAATGGTGGCAGTGTGTGCATGTGATGCTCCATGCCAGTGCTATCTGCTAACAAGCCTGCCTCTTCCCTGACTAATCTGGCAAAGATTCCCTCTCATCTGTTACAACACACACCTACACACTCTCCCTTTCTCCCCCTGCTCTCACTCTCTCTCACACACACACACACACTTGCACAGACAGACACCAATAAACTCGCTCTCCTTTCCTGTGCGCGCGCGCGCACACACACACATATACAACCTTGACACGCGCACACACATTTTATCCATCTCTTTCTCTCTTCCCATGCCATGTAGCCTGGCTGAATCCTGAGCCTGAGAAGAAAGACATGGAGGAGGTTATTTACCTGACTGCAGTCTGCAGGCTGGCTACCAGGATCGGCTGCAGCTGTGGGGGAGAGAATTAGCAAGCCAGCATAGCGGCGAGCTGCTAGTCTCTTCATCAGCTGATCACTCAGAAGCAGAGACCAGAAGGGGGGAGAATAAAAGCGCTATGTTTTCATATACAAATCAATGGGCTGGGGGAAAATACAAATGCCATACCCATCTCCTGCCTGCAGCTCTCCGAAGTCTTTTTCCTGACTCTGGAAGGCCCCGAGCTTGTCTCCCTCTGCATGTTTTTAATATCGACTGTTGCCAGACGGTTTTCCCCCTCTTCCTACCCTGCTGTTAAAGTTATCGGCTCCATTTTTATGTTCTAAAGTGTTGCAATGCATTTTAGAGGGAGCGTGCCATTGTGTGTCAGCTGATACGGGAATAGAGAAACATGAGTCCAGCAGCTCGGACAATCACGGTTCATAGTGAAACATGTTTGTATGTACAGCCCCAGAAGTCCAGCAGAGGTGATTAATGCATAAATATGGACTGAGGTTATAACCCCTGTGCCAAGACAGAAAGGAAAAATATGTCTGCAACAGGAAAGCTGCAGTAAAAACTGTGAACTTTTTCCAGTCTGGGCTGATAGTCAAACACATCTGGTTTGTGTAAATCAATTAGGAGTGTTTCTTCCCAGCATGTTATGCAAAATGCTGCTGGGGAACAGCACACAATGTTAGAACACACACCAGAGGAAATGAAGGATACACAAGAAAACAAGACTGGAATAAAAAAAATAAAGCCCTTCACATATTCTTCAAATAGGATAAGATAAGATAAAACTTTATTAATCCCACAATGGGGAAATTCGTGTCAAACGCATAATGGACCAGAGCTGCTTGGGCTGGAATTCAGTGGAAAAATCTTGAGTTAAACAGCAGTGTTTTCATGCCATGTGGTTAAGTTGATTCTCTAGCATCTGGCCAAGGCCATTTGTCATGTTTAACTCCTACTGTAACTAGACTATATATGGCCTTAAAGCCCCTGAAAACCTGGTTTCAAATCTAAGGCATTTAACATTATGACATTATGTTAAGGTCTGGGAAATTAACTGGTTATTATTTATTGATCTCACGTGACTTTAAGATAAGGTGCATTTAGACCAACTCCAAGTGTCGTCACATAATCGGCCTGCGAGAACTGATCTGTGGGCCACTTGGGGGCAGTGGAAATGAGATGTGAACACAACCCTGCCACGCTGTCACCTTTTCAGATTATGAACTTGTTACCAAACTGTCCACCTCCAGCAGACTTACATTAGCATTCATCTGGTGTTGTGCTTCGGCCTCGTGATGACTCTAGGTCCAATATTTATTCTCTTATACTGTAGGTCTGCTCTTAGCTGTGCAGATAATGTGCAGCGTTTAGGTGAAAACTGCTGAGTGGTTTGGGAGCACGTCAAAACAGCAGACCTGCAGGCTGCCGAGACATAAGATAATGAGATGATAGAAGCTATAATTCTCGGCAGAGCTGGGTGGAACTGGCCATAAATCTCTGTGGATTCATCACTAATAGTAACCCCTTGCACACAAAGCCCTTGTTGTTATACCAACAGTGACTGCAGCTTTAAGTCAAACCAGACTAAATCCTGATTGCTGCTTGGAAATATGCAACATCACCTTTTTCCAACTGAGTCCCACCTGCTTCGCACCAACAAGACCCTGTTGCTCATAATAAGATAGTGGGGTAAATAGTTTTCACTGCCTTTAAGAGACCCTTTAAATATTGTGGTGCAGTTGAATGAGTTCATTTTTAGGCCTCTTCAACACTAATCAAAACTCACACTAGCAGTCATTTGACAGTGCCAAAATGTTTATCAGCTGGCATCGTACTGGACCAACTTCCAGCAAGCAATACATCAACTGATATTCAACATTTTTACAAGCATTAGATTTTTTAAAATTCAAAAATGTGGATAAAATGGAATGAAGCATCACTCTCTACTGTTAACATGATGAAGTAATATTGGTAGATAATTGTGCATTTCACTGTCTGGCTTCAGAAAGTATTCAAACTCCTTACACGTATTCAGGCCCATTGCTGTGGCACTCCAGGATGTGGTCACCTGCATCCTGTTTGCTTTAATGACCCCCGCTGACCTTGACTGGAGTTCGCCTGTGGCAAACGGAATTGGTTGGACATAGTTTAGAAAGGCACACCCCTGTTTCTGACACTTCATGGCAGAATGGGAACCGAACAATGAAGTCCAAGGAACTAAATCCAGACTGTTGTAATAAAATTGTAAGAAGGCATCAGTACAAAGATGTAGAAGCGATTCTAAAACCCTGAGGGCTTCAGACATCCTTGGCAGAGAAGGGAGAACCTGCTGAGCTAAAGTCCATCAGTCAGGCCTTTGTGGACGAGTAGCTGCTTTGAGGAAAAGGCAGGTGACAACTGGTTAGAGTTTGCCAAACAGTGTTTAAAGGACTGTGAGGAAAAGGAATCTCTGATCTGATGAGACAAAACTGAAATCCTGGGCAGAACTCCAAGGACTATGTCTGGTGAACACAAAGCGCTGCTCATCACCTGGCTAACACCACATCTATGGTGAAGTGTGGTGGAGCCATGATGCTATGGGGGGCTCCTTAGCAGCAGGGACAGGGAGAATGGGAAGCATGAATACAGCCAAATGCAAAGAGGTTCTTTAAGAAAACCTGCTCCTGAGAGTGCAGTGGCCCGAGACTAGGGTGATGGTTCAGCTTTCAGTACGACAATGACGATAAAAGACCCGAAGAAGGCTGCTCAGTGTCGCTTCCCATCCAGTCTGCCAGCGCTTCACAGGCTCTGCCACGAAGAATGGGATAAACGACGTACACGTTAAAGCTTGTAGACAACTGAAGCTGAAGCTGCTGCCGAAATGGCTTCTAAAAGGTATTATGGTTCTGGATACTGGTTGTGAGATATTTCAGGCTTTAATTTTGAAGAGAAAACCTCTAAAACCTAAAAACATGTTCACTTATGGATTACTGACTAAATCTAGCCACAAGACTGCAAAAAGTGAAGAGGTTTTATGAAGGCACTGTATGTAGTATACGATAGGAGGAAACACTGTGTCTTAGAAAAGACGTACACGTTGTGGAGTAAAGAGGTTGCACAACTATTAAACCGCAGAAACTCCTACCATATATGCAAAGACACGCTGCAGTACTTGAGCTTAAAATATCTCATTATCCAGCAAATGAATTAGAGTAGGTGCACACTGAACCAACAGCATGTGTTGATGCACGTCTTGTTTTAATGTACAGGAGGATTAAACTGCTCAGTTGCATGGTGTTTTTTTTTTTTAGAGAAACACATGGAGCCTTATTTTGTTGTGCATCTGAAGTCACCTTTCATGAGTTATAAGATCTAATGAAGTTTCATCTTAACTAACAGACCAATGGGAAGGGACTGGATTAGCAGTGAATTAGAGATATCATTTTAGTATTATGTTCCTGAGAACCACTTGCTCAAAACCTGCTGACTGTTACCATGGCAACTGCAAATTTTGATGGTGGACCTTGTATATCATTGTGTTTTATTGCTGTTGCTGGGAAATGACTCAGATTGCTCTGTCACACATGCACAAGCTCACAGTAATGAACAGTGGGTGGGGTGGCGGCATGCCGCCGTGGAGAGCGACAACATAATTTTATACATCTACCCCGTCTTGACGTGGAAGCTTGCTCTTCTGTAACCAGGCACTTTTTAATAGCCTTGCAAATAGGTGAAATGTAAGTCATGTGGGTAGAGGCAGAAAATGAAAGCACAGGGACAGACGACACACTGTGCCACTGTTTAATGTCAGATGTACTTAAGGCTGAAGTTTTTGCAAAAAAAAAAAAGCTCTAGGAGCAATTTAACAGCAAGAATGGTACAAGTGCAGAGGTTATGATGAGTGTTTGATAAATGATTCATAGTTTATTCAAAGCTGAAATTCACTTGATTTGGGATGCAAACATAAATGGAAGTGAGAATTCTTTGATCGGTGTACCAGACTGTGGTGTGCAGTGTGAGATCACAAAGCCAGATAGCAATAATCCAGCCATTTATAGCTGGCTGGCGAAAAGCTATGGAATTTTTCAAGCATGTCGCTGCCTTTTCCTCATAAAACAGTCAGTCAAGGTTCAGTGGGGAAGACATGGACATGGACGATGTCTGTAAGAGGCACAAGTAATGTCTTACAGGTGAACAGAGCTGGGTGTGAAGAGATAAATCTGACCTTAACTTAGTTAAATGAGGGTTTAAAAAAAGGCTCCAAAAGCTTTTTCACATTTGAGTCTCTGGACTTTTTTTTTCATTCATTTGATTAGAAAGGGATATTGTAGAAAAGACACTGTTAAAAAGTGAATAAGCAGCTTTCCCCAGCACAGAACAACACAGGAGCTTGTTTAAAATAAATTTCCAGTAAAGGAATGCTTACCAGTTGGTGCTTATGATGAGAGCAGTGCAGTTAATGATTATTCACTTAAAGAAAACATTTGGCCGTCCAGCCTTCATCACTGTCAACACTAATGTAGGCAACACTTAAAGGAGACTTGTGTGATGGGATTGATACCAGTCTGTTGGTCCAACCATAAAGCTACAGCCAGCTGATTAGCTTTGCTTGGCATAAAGAGTGGAGCCAAGCAGCCTGGATCTGTCTAAAGGTAAAATCCAACCCCCTGCTCTACATGTGTGAAACTCACTAAACCAACATGTTGCAGTTAATTTAACCTAAACAAATCACCTTGAAGTTTCGTGGACACATATAAGAATGGTATTTCCTTTAACAGAAGAGCTACAGTCATGTAGAGTTTATACTTTGGTAAAATTACAAACTTAATGTTTAAAACAGTTTGATCATGCACTGACTCCTCTAGTAAAACAATATACAGATACAGTAAACGATGAACTTAGAAATACAAATAAAACAGTCAAAACATGTATGTTCCCAAAAGGCTTTTATTTATCAAGACTTTTTTTTTTTAAATATGAAGCTATAATGCATTTGTCACTTTACACATTTACTCACATATTTAAATTTGTCTAACTTTTTGTATCCTCTGATTTTCTTGTGCAGCTTTAAAATACCGCAGCTAATATTTACAAAGAATCAAAATATAAATTGAAGTGATAGTAGGTGACTGCAGCTCCAACACTACTGCAGTACCTATTATGAATATAGTGTAGTAATATACTCTGCCATGCATATACTGTATTACCTACTGAGCTAACAAATGCTACGCTAAAATGCCACTGGAGAACTAGTGGTCTGTCAGGGGGTGAAGTGTCACTGTTACAATCAGTCTCTTCTGAAACTTAATCTCCCTCTGCTTTGTAGACACCGATTCACCTCATTAATAGGATTCATGGAGCAGCCGTTCAGACTTTAGGACGTGGTCTCATTCGAAGACACGTCTAGCACCAGAGGAGCTGAGAGACTTACTGCTGTGATGAGCTGCTGCCTGTTGAGAGAGAACACAATAAAGATGAAAAGAATAAAATACAAAAAATACCTGCATATATACTTCAAGTGCTGTGAAAGTGTGGACCCACATACCCCCGTCAGCCCTTTGGAGAAGTTGGCATGAGCATACAGGAGCACCGCAATGTCACTATGTCCTGCCTCCAGTGCAATGGACAGGGCAGTGCTTTCATCCTGTAGACACCCCAAAACATAAATGTTAAGTTCTGCTGTACCAAAAACATACCGTGCACATCTAATTACACATAGGTTTGAATTTCTCATATGTGAAACAAAGGCTCCAGTTTCTCAGTTTGAGGCCACCAGGCTCATTGAAGCAACGACTCACATACACTGTCAGTCAGTGTGGCATCACAGTCTGGCTGCGCCAGCAGGAGTTTGACAATGTCAGCATGGCCGTGCTCGCTTGCACACATCAGCGCTGTGGAGCCCTCATCATCCTGGAGATTGACCTCTGCCCCCTGTGCCAGGAGTGCCTGCACCATGTCCATCCTGCCATGGCTCACAGCCAGCATCAGAGCCGTCTGGCCGGCCTAGACGACAGAAGCCAGGGTCAAACAGAAAACAGTCCACACATGTAAACACTTCTATTAATTATCTGTGTAACCTCAGGTCTTTCTGTCAGTAGTCAGATCAAATGTGACATTTTCTACAGCAAACACAGAATTCACCACAATAATAAACTGAGGAAGTCTAACTGAAAAGTTCATAGTGCCTTATTTTACAGGTTCACTCTTTCAAAATAATTTCATAAGTTTCCTGTAGTTAATTGCAGAAAGTTAATCCACTTAGCTGTAGAGTTTATTGGCTTGCAGATGAATTTTTATTAAAGAAATTTCTCAATTTAAACCTCTCTAAAATGTTTTTATTGATTTATTATTTGAACTGGGTGGTTGTTCACCTTCTGTCCTCTGAATTAAAGCCTCAAGTTTGTGCTAGCTTAGCATTTAGAAATGACTAAAGGTGTACCAATGGCTCACTCTATCTCTAACTGTAATCGGTTCCAAATTATATGGTTCCTTCAGGAAACTTCTTAGGAAATCACTTGGTCTGTAAACTAGTGTTACCAAAAATTCCTCTGTAAATCCTAAAAGAAATCTTCAAGAAGTTATAGATTTACATTTTTAAAATGCATACAGTATGTTTATATGCCATTTCCCGTAGTGCCAAAAGAACTGCTGATTTAAAAACCCTGACAATCATAACATCCAAACATTACATTTGAGCCACAGATATAGTAACCCAAAAGGAATTAAAAAATATCCTACCAATTTATAGTAGGTAAGAATCAAGTATTTGTTTTAAGTAGTTCCCAGAGCACAGTTAGAGAAACAGGGGGACACCACACTCAGCACCGGAGAACAGACTGACCTGGCTGGCCTTGGCGTTGAGGTCTCCTTTTGTGAAGAGCTGCTCCACCACTCTCATGTCCTCTGGAGTTTCCACAGCTGCGAGTGCAGCCAGCATGATGGGTGTGTACCCTGCTTTGTTCTGCTGATTCACATTACACACCTCTGTAGTGATGGCGGTCAACAACCCAAGTGGAACAAACAAAAGAGTAAAAGAGAAAGTCATAAAGAAGAAAAGTTTATTTATTTGTGATGTATGCAAACTGTTCCCCACTACTGACGGTGCCGTGTTTAAGATTGTGAAAAATACCTGTGCAAAATTCACCTTTTCTATGTAAAAATAAAAGGTCATCCATATAAACTGGTCTGTTGACATGGATAAAATACAGGCTCTTTCAAAAGCCATTCTTGAACTGTGTAGCAGCAGAGATGGAAACGCATTTAAGTATTACATAAAGTGTCCTTAAATAACTGGTTTTGTTGCTGCTGCTTAATTAGGAGTTCTCAAAGCATATGTTTTTAAGGAGGTTTCACATAGTTGTTAAAACACTCCCTTGGTGCATAATGTGAAGCACCAGGCTCAGCCATACGGTCCATTAACTGAAGTCCTGGGTGTATTTTAACAGGTGATATTTGGTTGTCTTCATTTTGAACAACATAAAAAGCCGTTTGTCGTTTGTTTTTTCCATTAGGAACATTACAAAAATAACGTTCTTGATAAATTAATGTCATACAGAAGACTTTTGCCCACATACTTTTATTGATTATATTTTGAAAGCCACAACAAGGCTTTCCATTAGACACGATTCAGTATTTTCCTGGTTTCCTATTTACATTGATTAGTGTCTGAAGTGACTGGCCATGAATTATATTTCTGAACACTTGTTTCTTGCTTGATCTGAGCACAGTGGAGAAAACGTTGTAACAATTCATGATACACAGAGTGACTCACTCAGTGTTTGCCTGTTTGTCCCCTAGTGGCTTCTGGGAAGCGTAGTAATGCCTACAGACAACACCCTGAACCACAGCGTTCACTGGCCATGTGCAGTACCGCCAAACTGTTCAGGGTTCCTCACCTCTGCTATTTAATTATTCAATCATTTCTACTGTCATCAGAAGAGGGGAAATTTAGTTTGACAGCCAGGTGAATACAGAAAAAACCAACCATTCAAAAAAGCAGTGAATAATAAAAAAGGGAACTGGCGCCTTTTTATTTTGGTTATGTTGTAAGTGCAAACTGTGGAGAAATAAACTGTCAGCAAGGAGGGGAAACAAAAGATGAAATAAACTGTCAGCAAGGAGGGACAAAAGATGAAAGCAAGGAGGGGAAACAAAAGATGAAAAGGTCAGTTGTCAGAATAGACGATGACCCTAAGTTACCCCGTGAGCATTGTTGTACCTGCATCAAGGAGTTTCTTGACAATACCAAAGTTGCAGTGAGACACACTGTAGTGCAGAGCAGTGTTTCCGTTGATGTCAGCCATATTAACTATGTGTTGCAAAACTGATGGGGAAATGATCTGAAATGCTGCCAAGTAGTCGTCCACAGTGTTGGCAGCAGCTGACTTGTGGCTGGACACGGCGAACCACTCTTGCTGGAGTGTTTCTAGACAGTCACGCTGCAAGGAACAAAAGAGTACAAGAAACTCAGGTATGTGTATATTAAAACTCTGGTTGTTTATGCATCCTCGAAAATTCATGGCAAGTTGCCATAATTCACAGGTCAGTAAAGGAAGAACTTATAAAAATCTCCAAAACAGCATCATTAAAGTAGAGGCTTAGAAATATCACCAAAAACTTAGTGGTGTGTTGACAGTTTTGTTAGAATTTTTGTTTTGAATGAAATCTTTCTTGGTTTTCCTTTTTAATATACTACTACTTCATCTTCTCATCTGTTTTACAAAATATCTGACTGTGAGGAAAGAAATGCCCATGGTCAAGTTCAACAGAAGTGCAAAGGCAGAAATTTCATTCAATGCTAGTCATTTCTTTTTAAATGCCATACTTGGACAAAGCCTGCATTTAGTTAGACGTGCACACAAACATATACTGTACAGAAACTCAGTGGCCTTCAGAGGCTCTCACAGTGAATATAATGAACAAACATACCAGCTCCCTGCTGGACAAGGCAGTGTCATCGTCCAGGTGCATCTTTAAGACTTGACAAGCAGAAAAAAACATTTCGCTTAACTTAGACCTGAAAGAAATAAGATGCTACGAGTTACTCAGGCTTGAGTGAAGCCCTCAAAGGTTACACTCACACAGTGTAAAATACCAAGACTGCAGCTTTTTAATACAGAAATATTCAGCGGAGCCAATATTCTACACTCCTACATTACCTCTGCATGTGTGATTTTGTGCTTGATCCCTTGTGGGAGCCACCTTTGCCCTTTCTTGCTTGTGTTCCATCTTGAGAAGCATCCCTTAGTTTCCTGTTTCCTTTCCTTTCCACTTCCTCAGAGTTAACCTTCTCATTGGCAGAGAGCTTACATGATGACCTAGGGTCTAATCTGAGGACAGAAAAAAAGAATGTAACACGCTGAAAACATGTTGACCTAACACATCCAAGAGACTCGCTTTAGATACCAACCCTGTGGTCACCCTCATTAACTTCATGCTTTTCCTGCTGCTGCTACAGCCCTGGTCACCGTGCATTTTCTTCATTACAGCCTGCAGCACACCAGCATTAGTTGATCTGTCTAGAAACAATGATATACAGTAGCACCTCCTTCTGAATCTTAATATATGCACACAGCACTTGATTAATTTATCAGTGTGATGTGTGGTTTATTTTATTAAATGCAACACAATATAACAGGGCAATCTGGGCAGGTCTCAGATGTGAGGATATGCTCATAATACTAACTTTATATATTCTTACAATCTGAAGGCATCAGTTTAAAAGAGAAAACATTCTCTGACACCAGTTCCTCCTGTGACGCGTCCGATTTTAGCATCTCAGCCACAAACTACTATGTGGTATGAAACGCCTACCAAACCCAGATATCGTTCCAAACATTGCAAGTGTATTCCTCAAAGTCAGCTTGCCAAGACAAAAGTGACCACACCCTCTAAGCCTTCTGTGAGTTTAAACTGGGCCTCAGGAGCTGTCTGAAAAAGGAACAGTTTTAAACTACACTACTTTTGCCCAGACAGTCTTCTTATCCACCTTTGTTTATTGTATTTCCTATGAAGATTAACGTGGAAATAACACACACATGCATGTTTACCTTGCAGAGCAGGGGATGTCTGTTGTTCTAATATTTGTATCATTCTTTTCACCTCTGATTCATTACCACCCTGTTGGCAGATTCCTTGGCTTGCTTTGTCACATTTAGAAGAGTCAGCTGAAAGTTGAGCTGAGGACTGAAAGTCGCTGCTGACTGCGACACAGAAAAAGGATAGTGGTGAAGGTTTGGAATAGTACCAGCAGGATTTGACAGATGTTGCATGATAACAACCCAGCATTAAAGGCACCTAGTGGAGTTTTTGAACACTGGTGGTTCGATGGGGCAACGTACAAAAGGTGAACTTTGGTTTCCTGCCATTCCAATATAGCATTGTCCCAACAAACAAACTTGGATGTAAACACCACAGGTTTTAAAATAAAAATAAAAAATCAGCTTTGCAGACATTTGCCTGGCTCAAGGACACACACACACACACACACACTGCTTTTGGGTGAGGTACACTAAATGCAAATATACAGGAAAACTAACTGTCACACAACTAACTTCCTACATTGTTACCTGTTGGCTGAGAAACATACACACACACACACACACACACACACACACACTGCTTTTGGGTGAGGTACACTAAATGCAAACATACAGGAAAACTACCTGTCACACAACTAACTTCCTACATTGTTACCTGTTGGTTGAGAATCAAAACAACAGACTTCTGTTCCTCCTTGGCCCACAGCCTTGGTGTTGCAGGATATTTTGGAGCTGTTGTTTTCTGGGCTGCTGTACTGCTTATTATCGTTCTCTGTGAAGAGGCCCCCATGCTCCCTGAGGAGCCGCTGCATCTTCTCTATGTGATGATTTAGTTCAGAGTCCCACTGTGGCTGTGTAGGTTGCTGGAAACTCTGGCCGGGTGTAACAGATGAAAGTGACAGATCCCATATCTTTCCCTCCCCTACACCGATGCTCCTTGTCTTGGTGGGGTCAGGCAGATGGGACGGTCCAGAGGCCATATTTCGGGTTTTCAGTCCAACCAAGAAATTCTCATTAATGTTGGTGAACCCAACACCAGTGTCTCTGGTTACCTTTGTCACTGTCCCTGGTGTTTGTTTTAAAGCTTTTCCTACCACGTTTGCAGTTCTTGAACCAATTTCCTGCATCTCTGGGGTACATTTGATGTCTCTAATCCCGTTTCCTACAGACACAGTCCTAGTAACAGTCTGAGAGGTGTTGGTGTGCTTGTTGTGGGTACTGAGGAGAGTATTGGTGCTGGAGTCGGTGTTGAAGGCATGTGTGGTGTTTGTAAAGCGAGACACTGAAGTGGAGACGGTGTTGGTACACTGTGAAATTGTCTGGGGTGACACCATGATTCCCAAATCAACCCCTTTGACTGGATCTGTGGCTGTACCTTGAGACACCACTTCCTTTGCCTCACAAATGATCACATCTACAGAACAGTCTCCACAAGCCACTGAATGATTCTTAAACTTTCCTTTCTTAGATCCCAGATTTTCCACTGGTACCTCCGTGTTTGTTTGTGCATCACATAACTTTACCTCTGTCCCAGCTCCTTGTGTGTTCAAAGAAACTTGTATCCCCACGCCCTTTTCCATGGTCTCTACTCGCTGTCTGACTTGATAGTAGCTCATGGGCACATCTGGTCCTATGCAAGCATTCTTCAGCTCAGGTCCACAATTAGATACTCCAACAGTGTTGACCTCTGTTTTCTCACCTGTGCTTGCATCCTTGACCTCTGTGTGATTACCTACTCCCTGGCTTGTGGTGTGAGGCCTCACCTCAGTGCCTGTACTTGCAGTGGATGGCCTAGCAAGAGAAGCTTTATCAGCACGGTTCCTTGCTCCTGCAGCCTGAATCTCCAATTTCAGATGACTCATCTCTACCTGGAGAACTGATTCTTTCAGTTCTGCTTCTAAGTGACACATTTTCTCCTTCAGGGCACCAATGATTAGTTGTTGGGCATCAAGCTCTGCTTCCCATTCTGTGGAGATTCCAAGATGAACTTCAGACACTTGCGTTCCAGTGGACCTTGTTTCTATCTGATCAGTACACATACATTTGGTTTCCTTTGTGGCTTTAGACAAGGTGATATCTGTATCAGTTCCTGTTGCAGCTGACTTGACAGTTTTGTCATGCAAAGAACTTTGGGCTTCTCCACTCCATGCTTGCAAGTATCCACCCCTGATGTTTTTTTCCAGTGCCTGCATCTTTTCAGTCAGTTGCCTGAACTCTCTAATATCAGTGCAGTCACTTCTCACTATGCTCTCAAGTTCTTCCTTAGTATGTACTTTATTCTCAGTATCAGACCTTTCCCTGCTCTTTTCTTTCCTCCAGATCACATCATTTATACCTTCATTGTCACTCAGGTTCTTGAGCTGAGAGGCCAGTTGCCTTTTTTCCTCCTGAAGGACTGAGATTTTTACCTGGAGAATAGGGATGCTTTTCACCTCCTCCTCCAGCTCCTTCAGCCTCTGCAGAGCTATTACCATCTGATCGCGGACATGCTGCAGGTGCATCGGTCCAAGATTTGTAATGGGGGTGGTTCTACCACTGCTCTGTGGGCTGAAGTTAAGACAGCCGGTGCTGCCTCTACTGCCCAGGGATGATTTAAGTTGGACATGCATGTCACCCCCCTTGCCAGTACACTTGCTCCCAGTATTGTTCTGATTATATGCAGTTAAGCCCGTGAAGGCGGAGAGTGACCCTGGGGAGCTTACCCCGCCAAAGCTGGCCAGTCGTCGACGAGGGTGTGGCTGAGGTGGAGGCTGACTTGTCACCTCCTGATCCAAAGGTTTGTGGGTCTCTACAGTGGTCTTTTCCAACATGGGGCTTTGTCTTTGCAAAGCAAGAGATCTTGCAGCAGCCTGAGGTTTTGACTCATTAAGTATCCGAGAGGCTGCTTGTGCCTCAGTCCTTGAGGGCTTGGTATCTGAAGGTGGACCATGTGGTGGAGGAAGAGGAGGTCGACCTCTGGTTCTAGAAGCCATGCCTAGTCTTGTATTGTCACTGCCGGATGCTGACAACGATTCTGAAGAACGTGACTGGCTGGATGAAATGCCACTCTGTGTTTTTTCCACATTATTGGTGGCCGCTTTGGGCCTTCTCTTAAGACTTAATCGCTTTATGGTGATGCTGTTTTGAAAATTGTCCACACACCTGAGGTAGTCGACGTCCGACTGATAACCGCAGTCAATCCCCACGTACTTAGGAACACACTCTCCAGTGCTTTGACCTGTTAGACCAGCAGTGGGATAACCACAGTTAATTACTGTTGTAGAGCGAAGGGCAATATCTAAAACAGACACTGTGTGGAGGTGTCTCCAAATGTCACCCAGATGGCATGTGATTAAAAATATAAGTTGAGAAAATCTCCATACATTAAGAGTTTACATTTCAAACTAACTATAAAACTATCAATATTGAGAATCTAAGGTAAGGATGCTCTTACTACACTTAGTTTACTTAATTTTTTCCTTACCTCAGCATTACATGTTCATCAGCGTCCGTTTCTAAAGTCTTTGTCACCTCCAAATGCCTTTGACTACAATCTCTCGGAGCCTGTCCCACAAGAAGAGGAGGGACAGGAGAATTTACTGACTGTGTACTCGCTTCTCTCTAAATGGTATGTGTCTGTACATAGAGTAGACTGAACCAACTCTATAATTACTCTGCAACTCTCCCTCCTCCAAATGTCCGACCATAGTCTTGGCACGTTTTCTTAACCACAGACATCTTCCAAGTATTTCTGCCTTTGTACAAACAAAAAGTAACAAATACTTGATAAACTTTAAATTGTAACACATGAAACAGGTAAACATTTTGTTTTTAAATTCCATTGTACACTTACAAACAAAAAGGTAACTACATTTATATTTGAACATAAGTGCTAAACATTTTGTTTTTAAGTTCCATTGTACACTTACAAACAAAAAGGCTGTATACACAAAGACAAACGATTCATTTGTCTAGCCTTTATGTTAGTAGCATAATACAAGTAATAGTTACCTGGCACATTTCTCGAGATGTAACTGCCTTGAGACATGAATATTTTTCAAGAAGTGTCAATAATGAGGTGATTCTTTTATATCCAGTGAGGCCTTTGAATAAGTCTGTAAATTTAAGATGTATAAAATAAACTATGCTTCACATCTTGATTATTCTTTTACATTTAAGGTTCTACTGCATCACTAATTCAAGCTCTTTCTCTCCCCCAGCCCAGGTCTAGCAGTCAATAACTGCTAACCTTACACTGCTTACACAAAGGAAATGCAATACCAGGCCATCGCATGTTATATTTGATTCTGCAAGCACAGTGAGCAAAAGGCTAAGCCTCAGCACACAGCGGTGGCTCACAGCATTACAGCGCCGTATCACTTTCTCATTAGTGAGCACCCTCTGCTTCAGCATGTAGGGGGTTTGCAGAGACTTTCTTGTATAATGAGAAATGGACAATGAGAAATTAGGCTGTTTCTGCTGCAAAAACATCAGGATAAAAAAATCAATTTCTGCACACAGGAAAACTATATGAAACTGGAGAATATGGAAAATATGGAGCTACAGTCTAATAAGAAAACTGAATAACAATATTCCTGGCAACATCAATGTACTATCCATCCATCCATCCATTTTCCTCTGCTTATCCGGGACCGGGTCGCGGGGGCAGCAGTCTAAGCAAAAATGCCCAGACTTCCCTCTCTCCAGACACTTCCTCCAGCTCCTCCGGGGAAATGCCAAGGCGTTCCCAGGCCAGCTGAGAGACATAGTCCTGGAAGGATCAATGTATTAAGTAAAAGCAAATAAAAAAATAAAAAAGTGGCTACATGTAAATGAGTGGAGATGTCTAACAATATCCTAGAGCTCTGTTTAATTTAGCATCAGTTTTATACATGTAGGTGAATATCTGCTGTCTCAAAGACTTGACATCAAACAGGCATCAGCCAGTCTCAACACTGACGTATAAACACAACTCCTCTTATATTTCATCTGAAGCCTATGTGAATGTGTAGAGCAAGCTCCAAGCAAAAAATCAGATATGCTAAGTTCTTTCTGAAGGCAGCCACAATGACCCAGAGTATTATCTCTGCTGCTCTGATGGATGTTAGTGATTTTGGAAAACAGAAAACAGCTGAGGGAAGAAATGCATGGAAAAGTAAAATTTAGAACTAAAATAAAATATGAATGATTACAGACGCAAGAATAGACAAATCAGGAACATTTAAACATGACATTTATATGTGTGCAGGTGCTCTTTTTCTTTAAAAAAGCCAAAGCACAACATACATAAACATCGTTATTTAAAAGTTAAATTCACAAAGCAGCTCTCATACAGTATCTTCATTCATTAAATAATACATAACCCAGTCATTTAGGTTATTCTTACTTTATTCTTTGTTTTTCCAGTTAAAATGTAACTGAATTACAGTAACAAACAAGAGAGGTTGGTCCCTCTTTCATCCTGAAGAATGGTTCTGTACCTTAACGCAGCTGTTTTGATGCCGGACATTGTAAAGGAAGAAGAAAGGGACTGGTTGTATTTGCAGAGAACTGTGAAACTCGAAGGGGCGGGGCACGGTGAAGACTGCAACGGTTAGTGAGTCCTTGCTCAGACGGTGACATCATGTGGCCACCGGGGAGAAATTCAGGTCATGATGTGTTTACTTGTGTTATCTTTGACTAATATTTAAATTTGTTTGATGATCTGAAACATTACAGTGTGACAAACATGCAAAAAGATAAGAAATCAGTAAGGGGGCAAATACTTTTTCACACCACTGTACATAAACATCGTTATTTAAACATTAAATTCACAAAGCAGCTCTCATACAGTATCTTCATTCATTGAATAATACATAACCCAGTCATTTAGGTTATTCTTACTTTATTCTTTGTTTTTCCAGTTAAAATGTAACTGAATTACAGTAACAAACAAGAGAGGTTGGTCCCTCTTTCATCCTGAAGAATGGTTCTGTACCTTAACGCAGCTGTTTTGATGCCGGACATTGTAAAGGAAGAAGAAAGGGACTGGTTGTATTTGCAGAGAACTGTGAAACTCGAAGGGGCGGGGCACGGCGAAGACTGCAACGGTTAGTGAGTCCTTGCTCAGACGGTGACATCATGTGGCCACAGTGGAGAAATTCAGCTTGCACTCACCACTAGACCAACAGTACCGAATCTGTTCGTCGAGTCTGAATGGAATAACAACAAAATCTAGATTTAGTCAATAGTCATATTTTTATTCCAGCTATTTATTCCTCTAAGTGCCCATTAAATTGACCAAAATTTGCTGTGTAATTTTTGCAGTCCTCTCTTGCATGCCCACAAAAGTCATATTTGCAATTACATATTTATCACTAACTTAAAAAAGCAAAGATTAACATGTGATTAACTATCAGGTGGTGCTCGCTGTGGTCGGGCCCTATTGTCTTGAGTTCAAAGTTCAGCCCCATGTTGTGAAACACGTTTCTGACAAGTCATGCAAACCTGCAAGTCAAGTAAATCTATGGTCCATGTGAGGTCCTTTTACCTGTTCACGTACGTCTCAAACAGGCACAAACTAATTATGTATATGCATAGCAGAGACAAACAGAGGCAGCATGCACCACTGCACTCTGTCAATGTGTCACCTCATAAATACTCTTGTATCAGCATATGTAAAAATAAAGTGTGTTAGATTAGGTCATTGAGGAGATAATTTGAACTTTCCACTTCAGGATCATGCAAACAAAGCATGTTTAAGCAGTTTCAGTGAGATTCTGAGAGAGTCATGTGCTTATTTTTGCTAAAGATGGTGAGTAACTTATTTCCACGGAAAACTGGCTCGTTTTACAAACCATATATTTTGGCATAAGGTGTAAATTAGCAAGGTAAAAATCTCATAAATTGTTTGACACTTGTAAAACTAAACAATCAAAACTAGCTTAAACCTAATCAGCTAATCAGTTAAAAAATAAGCATCTAGTTGAAAAGCATTTGTTGATGTACTGGGAAGAAAATGGGAACCAGGACCGGTGATTAATTTAGTGTTGTAAACAATGTTAAAGCTTTTGGACAAATTGTGTACTTCTGCACCACAAACTCAATGAAACTTGAGCTGTGTGTTGAGGCTGTTTCAAGTGTAACATCACACTATTTTCATTTATTTTATTTTTTTAAATGTTGTATTTAACAATGTAGAACGGGGAACAAAACCCCCAAATCACTTTGAGCAGGGCCTGAATCAGGCTAAGACCATTGTTACTTTAAAAACAAAAGCCCACTATCTTTGAACTTTGCTCTTTTAAACCCACAGTTGCAGAAGTGATCACATCATTCCTCAACTGTGAGAAAAGGCACTTGTGATTGGTTGAAGAGTTGCACTCCCCTCGTCCCTTTCCCTATCTCAGTTCTAGAGTCCACTTTTTAACTTTGAAGCAATGCTCACCTATTTTACTTAAGGCAGTAGGTTCCTTGCCCGGTTCCACACCTGACAGCAAAATGTCTGACAAAGGAGCATTTGATACCAACGTGCTCACGCTCACTAGGTTTGTTCTGGAAGAGGGCAGGAAAGCACGTGGAACAGGTGAGCTGACAACCCTGCTCAACTCCATCTGCACAGCTGTCAAGGCCATTTCCACCGCTGTCAGGAAGGCTGGGATCGCTAACCTGTGAGTAGTATTCCTTCTTTTATTTTAGCAGAAACAGGCATGCATCTGAATGTGAATGATTTATGAGGAAACTACAGGATGCAGCATATTACATATTTCTAAATCAGTCAAGCCCCCCCTTATTGGATGACTTCCATTTGCTTCTATTTTAACATTACCAAGTCCCACTTTCTGCTTCAATGCATTAGTTTTATAATAGGGATTGATATGTGAGTTTAGTTTGTTACTTGCAGTAACTGGTATATGAATGTGAGCTGTTTTAGCTTACTTGGCCAAAGGCAGACTCTGCACATGTTGTGTACAACCAGGGCAGAGGTCAAGAAGATAATGATGTTTTCACACCTTTTCACAGTGTTAAAAAAATCCTTGGGAGATCATTCAGGCTTTGAGAAATTGAGTCAGTCTGTTTTTCCTTCCTTGTAAGATATGGCATTGCCGGAAGCACCAACGTGACAGGAGACCAGGTGAAGAAGCTAGATGTGCTGTCCAATGACCTGGTCATCAACATGATCAAGTCCTCCTTCACCTCCTGTCTGCTGGTGTCAGAGGAAAATGAGAAGGCCATCATTGTGGAACCGGAGA